CTATGGGCCAGGCACTGCCTCAGTACCTCGTCAATTTGACGCGGTGCCGAAGATGCATCTCTGAGATTCGCCTGCGCAACGGTGACGTGAGAGTGCATCTCCGCGAACCGTCTGTAGTTTCCATCATTGAAGCCGTGATGCATTAAGGTCCTGCTATCCTGTAGGACCCTAGAAGGCGTGCCAACGATGTGGACCACGGCTGCGCGTTCAGCATACGCCCCAGCGACAGCGTTGATGGCTGAGAGCTCGCCAACGCCGGATGTCGTGATGAGGGCCCCGACGCCCTTGATACGAGCATATCCATCGGCAGCGTATCCTGCGTTCAGTTCGTTGGCGTTGCCGACCCATAATAGCCCTGCGGGTTCGACATAGTCGAGCAATGTGAGGTTGAAGTCTCCTGGAACACCGTGGATGGCACCTATGCCGAGATCGTGTAAGCGAGTGAAGAGATACTCCGCGAGCTTGACGCTTGAAGGTTTGCGAACTTGAGTCATGTTGAGGGCACTTTGGGGGCCAGTGGTAAGGTCTATGGAGGTGATGGAAGGATGAAATACCCAGGTAAGCTTGACCCCTCATATCCACATACACTGAGACTTGGTCAAGCTTCCCTTTTCAACGCCCCTTGGTTTTCCCCTCATCTCAGGTCGAGAGCTATGTCATAGCGAGATTTGTGGGCCCTGCAAGTACAGATGACTTGCATGTTTCGGTAAAACACTCCCGTCTATCCGTACAATATAACGCTGAGTCTGGCACCTTCACATCTACATCAGAAAGACACCTCGTTGTCTACAATGATATCTATGTCCGTAATAACAGGTAAGGAGCTGTGAGTGGTCAAACTCAAAGATGACTGAGAAATCACTCGACGAATCGTTACAATTCAAGACGCTGACTGGTACCAGCTTTCCCCAAAAGCTTAGCTCCTTAAGCCACCAAGCACCTACAAACCCCGCCAGATACCTAGCACAGTTCCCCGCAAGATAAGCCGAGGCCCAGGTTACAGAGCTACCTGTATTAACTCAAGACTTGCCAGTCTTTTTAAGCCCATCCTTGCTGTTAAAAGTGTTCCTGCCGGTTAGCATCGGTATAAGTGATATCTTACCGAGCTGATGTATCTAGTTCAAGATTTCCACAGCTTCTATCCAACACCCTAGATCCGGGGCCATTGAGATGTTGCTGCTCGCTTTCTGCTCTAATTCTAGTCTGAACTCTGGTGTGTGGAGGTGCTTTTCAACTTCCTCGTCAAGCAAGTCGAGTTGACTTACACGCTAGAAGCCTTCGCCCGTGAAGTGCGATATGATCTTAATCTCGGGGCTTGAGCGAATCTTGAGGAAGCGATTACATCTCTTAGGAATGCAGCTCCGAGATGAAAGATGCGTTGTAACTTGTCGGTCTGGCTCTCCACCAACACGTGACATATTAGGCTACTTGGTAATAATCGAGAGGGTCTTTCGACATACGCATGGATTGGCACAGATCGATGAAACTAAGATGATGGTCAGTTTGCTCATCGAGCTGTAAAGAGAACAACAGTTTAACCAGAGGCTCAGGGCTGGCTGAAGCCTGTGGAGGAATCGAAAAGAGGTTTTTTGTCGCCCTGTAGAAACTTCTAGATTGTAAGTTTAATTTTGAGCTTGCCGTCAAGGTTGATTAACTGCATGTAAGGGCCAGCTTGTAGAATGTCAATCGTCTCTAAAGATTCGTCACGTCAAAGTCAGTTGACTGAGAAACAACGGAGAGAGGAATGAGTCGATTGACGTACTACTATTGAAACACACGCTTCTCAGCACGAGAATGAAATGGAAAATCTCTCCATCAAACCCTCTTTGTAGCGACCGGAATCATCGAGCTTGAATAAACGGGGCCCAATTCTTGAATAGAGTCTAGCATAACTCCCTTCATGTCGGACATGCTCAGAGCACGAGACAATGTGCGACGTAAGAAGCGAAGTTTGCAATGGCACCGATTGAGTTGATGGTGAAAGCGAGACGAGTGCCATCGACGCATTTGATGTCGAAATCGGATTTTGCAACTACCATGACCAAGTGACTTGCAGGTTAAATGTAGCAACTAAGATCAGCATCCGAAAGAAAATGTAATCCATGTGAGTAATAGCGAGATCGAGTGTAAGACAAAGGGTCACTGGTAATTGTACATGAATCCTCCACGACGAGGCTTCGAGGCTTCGGCCATTTACGCCTTCTTCCAATCACAAACAGGAATCTGGGTCTCTTTTACGGAACAGTGTCTAAATGCGTGTCGATGGTCAGGTTCCTTAGCCCCTCTCGCGTTCCTGGAGGGCTTCTCGCGCCTATCCCTGAGGAGCTTGAAGCTGACAGGCCAGGGCCCAGATGAGATTCAGGCTTGCTAGCAAGCCTGCTGTGAGAACCTGTAAGCGAGCAAGACATCGGTGATCCCGTCTCTATTCACAAGGGCTATTTGCAGCGCAATACGGGGGTGGATTAGTTTCATCAAGCGAAGGAGAGGTGCATTGGATGCTACAGGGCTTCGGACGCTTTTCCCGCGTAGGCCATGCCGGCATGCGGCACCGTGGGTAGGGGTCCCTGAGGAGAGAGCATGGTAACCATCATGTTCACAAAAATGATGCTTGTCTATTGGCGAAGCGCATGAAGCAATAAAGTACCTACACTACACGGATCGGAAGCACAATGATCTTGAGTTTCTTTTCAAAATCTACTTCTCCCACCCCATGGCAATGAAACGACGTACAGGAATCTTTGTGGCACACAACATTTCTCTAAACACAACCGCACCGTTTCTGGCGCCTCGAGAGGACGGTGTGTTCTCTCGATTATGTTTTTTCGTTCATTTCGGTAGACGTATATCGCAATCTTCTGAAAAGTCAGACGGCAACCAAAAAAGGTCCACGTCGATGTGGGTAGAAAACCTTGAGGAGACTTTGTCTCTGAAGTCTGATAACACATTCGGGACAGATGAGACGTGATGATCGCAACGCCCATTAACAACACAAAATTGATTGTGCCCCAATGAATGAGTCAAGTTGTGCCCTGGGCGTTGGCAGTCCTTCAGCTTTATTCCCTGATACCTGTGCCCAACCATATTTTCTTCTGCCTACCCCGTGTCTATCCCTATCTCACGACTGGGCAGCGGGCTGCCTGCAGTCTGTGAAACTTCTTCTCGGCCGAACATTGCCTTCACGAGAAATGATCGCCCATATCATGCGCGAATTTAGATAAACGGCTTGATTGTTTTGCGTTGGTCGATTTGGATTGGTGATCGACACACTGTGCTGCTTAAGCTTGGATATTTTTGGAGACGCTTTAAGTGCAGTCATGGATGATGGATCATCTACATACACTAATCATGACCATGTCCTGGAGGGACTGGTAGATCACCAGCGGAAACAGAAAAGAAAAGGAAACAATCGGACGAATGCAACGCCGTCTAGATTCGATGTACACAATCTTCGGTCATGCCCATGCCGTTGTGCCGTTCTAGAATAGTATCCAATATTCTCTACATGGGTCGAATGCTTCGCTGGTCAGGTTTCCGGGGCTTAGGGGGTGGAAAAGAAATAAAAATGCGCATCAAGGTTGGAATAACTGGGTATATGCGGGATAAGGGTGGGAACAACGTCTCCATGTCTCGTCCCAACTTGAAAGCTTCTGGGGCAGCAGATCGTCCGAACACGGCCCTTGAGCCATTTCGACGGATTTCCCATCAGGCCATTGCAGTGACCCATGAATCGAACTGGAAGGCCTCTCTCTGACAAGCAGTTCGGGCACCGTCAGGATCGAGTTGCACCGAGAATGGCTTACTTACAGACACGCTCGTTTTTGTCTCTGTCAATGTTTCGCCCAACGCTATGGAAAGAATCCCAATGACGATGGACCGTGTTTTTCTCCTGGCAAGCGCACGAGTCACTGCGAATTCGCCCCCCGAGCTAAGCGTGCCAAGCGCTTGACGCAGCAGCTGCTGGAAGAAGCTGTGGAATATTCTCCGGAAAAGCACACCTAGCACCCAAAGAGATTTTAGCGGATCGACCTGGCTTTGCCAACCCTTGACTCGGCTATTAATAGGATAAGGTTCATCGGCGTTATCGAGAGCGACGCTGGGCTGGCGTCAGTTTCACTTTGATGGACCCTTGACTGGGAGCAAGTGACCGACATTTTAGCGTCCTTGACTCTCTGTTTTTTCTTGTCGCCTCTCTCTCTCTCTTCTCTGGTCGCCTTGTTGGCCGTTTCGTTTATGTAAAATGTGTTGATCGGTCGGGAAACGGGTTACCTCTCGCTTCCCTAGCCCCGGAGGCTCTGCCTTGAGCAAGAGTTACATGCTACGTTACGGCGCTTGGCCCATACCGTTTAGCCGTTTGCCTCCCGGGGAGTTAGACTCTTCGCAGCTCCTCGGCCATGTCGCCATGAGGAAAGCCAAGACGAGTCCCAAAGAGGCGGCTCCTGTCTAAAATGCCTAAAATGTCTGAAAATAGGGGACGTGGGGCAGCCGGTCGTTTGTTTGTGACATCACTGCCCACCTCTGCCCTATGTTGGTATGTGCTGGTCACAGCATAACACGACAGATATTGGTCTGGCAACTCTGGGTGGCTGGGGGGCGCAGCTTTGTGGTTGAGTTTGTGTGCGATTCAGCAGGACCAGCCACCGCCAGCCTCTCGCTCTCAGCTCTGCCTCTTTTCTTCTCTCTTCTTTTTCCCCATCTTTCTGTTATTGTGTCGAATAGGGACCACCGGTTCATCCATCATCCATGACAATGGCTGTGCTACATAGAGAACCGAACCAATCGGCATCCTCACCTTCTCCTTGGCCGGCTCCGTCCTCCCGAGGCCGCCGGTTGTGGCGCTTTCAACTTCTCCATCCACACACACACTTTGTTAGTAAACGTGCAGAGACCGAGGTGCGAAGGTCAACCAAAATCTCGGGGTAGAAGCAACGGGTTTCGCGGGCGGCGCAGACGGCAGCGCTAGGAGGCGGGATGCCGCATCGCCAAGTCTCTCCGAGGGTACCATGCCATGTCACTCACCCTCGCCTCCCCTTGCGAGGCGGCTCCTCTCGTATTTGTCCGCGACTCCACTGCGAACCACAGGAGGCAGGGCTCATGATGTCAATCAGGCTCCGCAGGTATCCCTGGCCGGCATTACGAGAAGATCTTCGCCCCGGCAGTGCACATACTCAACTTTGGGCACTGGTTGGACTGGCGCAACCAACGCGACCTCGCTTTCTGCACCCCGTGATTACGAGATGATCATCGAAACGGGGTCCCCTGGACTCCTAGAGCTTTCTGGTGGCACCGCAGCAACCAGCATTCTGTGATGGTCAACCCGAGATATAAGACGAGCGACGGATCCCCTCCTCAGGGAATTGTTAGAACTCTCATCTCACCACATTCAACAACCAGCAATCTTAATCACAAAGTAATCATCCGACCACATCAGTCTTTACACCCACAGTCACTTCAAACACAACCATCAAAATGCAGTTCACCAACGCCCTCGCCGTTGCGGCCTCCCTCATCACCGCCGTCTCCGGCGCCGCGGTTCCCCAGCTCATTACCCGCCAGAACAACGGCACCACAAACGGCACCGCCCCCGGCCTGCCCGCCGACGCAAAGTTCCAGCTCATGGCCCTCCGCTCCGCCAGCGAGGTGCACTTCTCGACCTTCCAGGCCGCCAAGAGCTCCATCTTCCTCCAGCTCCCCAACCAGAACGCCACCTGCGACAGCACCGAGGATGACGACTCGGCCACCTTCTACCTGAACCAGGACGACGGCGGCCTCTACCTCTACGCCGCCTCCGCCACCCCGCAGCAGCTCTACGCCGACCGCTCCGGTATGGGCCAGGGCAAGCTCGGCTACACCACCGGCGCCCAGCCCGCGCCCCGCAACGGCGAGCGCACCGGCTGGAAGGTTGACCAGTATGGCGACCTTACCCTCGACGGCGCCAGCTTCCTGGCCTGCCCCAACAGCATCGAGGACAGCTGGTCCGTCTGGATCTCTTCCGGTGTCGCCAACCCTGCCGGCAACACTGACTGCCTTGGCATTGCTGTCCGCGCCGTCCAGATCACCGACCCCAACAGCTGCAGTTACACTTCCTAAGCGGTTGATTGGTTTGTTTGATTTCTTCCCCTTTCACACATTTCTCATCAAATTGGCATCGGTATAAAGGCATTGGGACTACCCGGGTATATCCATAGAATGGCGAACACTTGCATTTGTGGCATAGCAATGTCATCACGGTCACTCCGTTGTTGGCACCTGTATATTGTACTGCAGAAGGATTTGCCTTTTGTGAACATGAATTAATATGTCATTTTCAACTTTACTACTCTATCTTCCCGGTGACTTGTTGTGATCTTGAAACATTGTTCTCTTGAAGGATATTCAGCACTCACCAAATAATACGCCTACTGTACGACGATAAGATGAGAAAGAAAGAATTGGTGACTTCGCAACCACGAGCAACCCGCGGCTGGCTTGGCCGTCAGGCTTGCCAGAGTGGCTAGATTGTCCTGCTTCGGATGATTCTCACAAGCGGACCATGATCAAATTGTGAATCCAGTCGGAATCCAGTTTTGTGTGTCTGCTTTCTTTTCTCCCTTCGCATTGCGACCATGTCGAAAACGTCCATGCTATTGGTACGTGATTATCAGTCATTAGGATTATTATCGTATGCTTCTACACTGCTTCACGTCCGCTGCTAGCCCTCCACGGCAGCGATACCCTCCTTATCGCCCTCCAGTGCGGCCTTGTTGAACTCTGCATCATTCGTCGGCAGCTCAACGTGCCACTTTGAAATCTGCGCGGCACCAATCTCGACTTCGCCGTCCGTGCCAAAAGACAGGATGTGTCCGCCCTGAGTCCGGTCCTCAGTGATGAAGTGAAGATGATCGCCGGCTACACTGATGCCCATGGTATACTCTGGTGATCTGAAGCCGACAACAGTACCCCGCACCGGCTCCTCAAAGGTGTGCGACGCCTGATGCTTGCCGACCTCAATTAGGCTCTCGCCGGGTTTACTCTGGCCGCCGGCAGTCCGCACCGTAATACCCTTGAAGACACCCTCGATCCTGATGGCGAGGAAGAAGTTTTTCGAGTCGGGGAAGTCCTGTGAGAGGTGCTCAAAGAGCTCCTTCTTGTTGTTGAACGCGGCCTTGATGGTGGCTGTGGGCTGGAAGCGGGTGACCATGGCGAAGGGGGCGACAGCATCGGAGGCCGGGCTCGTGTCGATTGGGGTCACGGTGTTATCTGACTTCATTTGATAGAGCTTTCCGTCGAGGATGATCATCTCGCCGACCATGTAGCGAAATGTTCCCAGGCCTTGGTTTCCGTGGGAGATAAGTTCTGATACCGGTAGGCCCTTGGAGGCGACGCCGTCCATCAGAGCCGAGATGATGGAGTACTGGAATATTTCATTGACCGCCATGGTGTCTGATATGGTTTACCGGTGTTCTCGTTGTTGCTGAGCGTGAAATCGAGTTCTTAGGGTATCGGAAGTAGGACTGAAATAAGCTGCAGTTGCCAAATGAGAAGGGGTGGTTACGGAAAGTGAGACGATGAATGAATGAGGTGGTGGTGAGTGAAGGTTTGGGGTTCCCTTGAGTTTGGCCACGAAAGCGGCCCGCTATTGCTGACTGCTTACTGCAGAGCAGAAGGAGCACACCTGCTCACGCGCCTGCCTCCGTCCACCGGATCGGAGGCGTCGGGAGGCTACGGAAGGCGGCTCCGGGACAAGCGCAGGCGGGACCTTCCTGAGTTTCAGCGAACGGAAGCTGCGAACGTGTGGCTCTTTCCCGGGGTTAATGGTTGAGTCATCAAGGTCCATCACAGTGAAGTGGGAATTGGGAGGCGCCGCTTTGGGTCCCACTGCTCCGAGGAGGGCGCTGACGTCAGTCGCACGGCATCACCGGCCACATCGCCGCCTCGCTCTTTCGGTCTTTGAACTTTGGTGCCTCTTGCTCCTCAACAACTCAGATCTCACCGATTGACGGCCAAGCGCTAGGGAACTTTGCGGCATTACAATATCCACCTTTGCTCTCTCCATCTCCGCCTCTCGCCGATATCGTGATCGCGAACGTGAAGCTGAAGTTCCTGCTTTTGCTCATGACCACTTGATCTTTTCTCATTCTTGCAGGGCCCTTTGCAATTGACGCAAACAGGCTCCCTTATACCCTCAGCATTCCTTGCCCAGCTAAACCCGACAGGATCAGACACACCTAATGCTTCACTTCTATTCATCCTAATCAGGAGTGAATCAGAATCGTGCTCTCTGCATTGACTCGATACCACGCTCAAATACGCTCACGATCATTCAATGTCTTCAGAAACAGTAGATGTCGTGATCGACTCTCTTGTCGCCGCCGGCGTCAAACACATCTTTGGTGTTCCGGGCGCCAAGATCGATAGCGTCTTCAATGCCCTAATTGACCGCCCCGAGATCCAGCTGGTCGTCTGCCGTCATGAGCAGAATGCCGCTTTCATCGCCGGAGCGATCGGCAGGATCACAGGCCGACCCGGTGTGTGCATTGCCACCTCCGGCCCGGGAACTAGCAACCTTGTCACCGGCCTCGTGACCGCCAACGATGAGGGTGCACCCGTTGTTGCCATTGTCGGCGATGTCAAACGGGTGCAGGCTGCGAAGAAGACACATCAGAGCTTGAGGGGCGTTCAACTACTCGAGCCCGTCACCAAAAAGACCACTGGCGCCGTGCATCCCGATCAGATCTCGGAGATTATGCTCGATGCCTTCAGAACCGCCACGGCGTACCCGCAGGGTGCAACAGCTATCAGCCTACCAATCGATATCATGACAGTCGGAACCAAGACTTTTATCCCTGCGCTGCCCCCGAGCGCCTTCACGCCGCCTCAGTATGGCACGTCGCCGTCAGCGTCACTGAGCAGGGCGGCAGCCATGATCCAAAATGCAAAGTTCCCAGTCCTGTTCCTAGGGTCCAGGGCAGCAACACCAGATGCCGTCGAAGCTGTCCACGGTTTCCTCCGCAAGCACCCCATCCCCGTCGTCGAAACCTTCCAGGCCGCGGGTTCCATCAGCCAGGAGCTCGCTCATCTCTTCTACGGCCGCATCGGCCTCTTCCGCAACCAACCCGGCGATAAGCTATTGTCCCAGGCTGATCTCGTCATCGTTGCAGGTTACGATCAATCCGAATATGACGCCGACGCCTGGCACAAGAGCCAAAACCTTGAGATCTTGCACCTGGATTGGATTCCCGCCGACTATGGGGCCTTCTATAACCCAAAACTCGAACTGGTGGGCGCCATCGCCGCCAATGTCAAGGCGCTGGGCGACATCCTGGCAAACGTCTCCCGCCCGCAGGAATCCGAGATAGCAAAGTCCATTTTCACAGAATTCCACGCTTGGGAACAGAGCCCCCAGGCTCTGGGCCAGACCGGCGACGGTCCTGTGCACCCTCTCTACTTCATTAAGCTCATGCAGGGTCTGTTGCCCTCATTGACGACTTTGACATCGGATGTCGGCAGCATGTACATCTGGCTGTCGCGCTTCTACTTCGCATACAGCCCCAAGTCTTTCCTCGTCTCCAACGTTCAGCAAACTCTCGGCGTGGCTCTCCCATGGGCCATTGGCGCCTCTCTAGCCCAGGAGCCGCCTTGCTCCAGAAAGGTCGTAAGCATCAGTGGCGATGGCGGCTTCCTCTACAGCGGACAGGAGCTAGTAACTGCCGTGAAGCAGGGGTGCAACATCACGCACTTCATCTGGAACGATGGAAAGTATAACATGGTGGAGTTTCAGGAAGTCGACAAGTACGGCCGCAGTTCAGGCGTCGACTTGGGCGGGGTCGACTTTGTCAAGTATGCCGAGGCATTTGGTGCCAAGGGATTGCGCGTCAGTCGTTCGTCGGAACTGGAAGCCGTCATGAAGGAGGCTTTGAGTTATCAGGGAGTCTGCATCGTCGACGTTGAGATTGACTACTCCCACAACCACGAGCTTATGAAGAATGTCATCCAGGACAATATTAGTTAGAGTTTTGTAACCTGTTTAATGAGCGAAAGAAATGTCAGACAGCCGTTGTTGCCAACTCTGCGGGTCACTGTCTCCTTAGAGGAAACTGATGAAAGTTCACTTATCCCGATTTTTACTTTGTTGGAGGGATGGCGATGCATCGTACGAACTCATGTTGCCTGCACGAAATGCAAATGACATCTCTTGGCGACGATCGAGTGTTACAGGGACGCATCGTTCGCGATTCATTCAATGTCGTCTTTTCTCGGATGCTCCGGAAAACACTCCCGGGATCACGATCCAGGTTCCCGTCACTGGACGATCCAGCGGTCTGCGTACGGAAAGGCAAGGAAGATGGACTGGCAGGCATGAGCTGTTTCGATCGATTGCCGAGCTCAACAGCACGCATCTAGACCATCGTAATCCCTTGCCCTGGTGCGCTGGCAGACTTCAACTATTCGCTCATTCTCGCCAAGGAACTCAATGGTCTCGGACTTTGGGGTACCGGTAGTCATGCTGGATTCTCAGATTGATATTGTCCAGGTCGTAGCGGAAGAGAGCTCCCCACCCCTCTTAGTCTCAGCCCTAGGAATCGGAATCGGAATTCCTTCAGGGTCTTCATGTCGGTTTCCGGACGCACGGATGCTCTTCCAGATGGACCTACATGGACCTATGTACATGGGGACGGGAAGACGAGGTTCGTCTGTGTCGCATCGGGAGGTGTGGAGTTTCAATGCTCTGATACGGCAGATGATATATTATGATCTATGATAGGTACAGTACATACATGAGGTAGAGCCACCATCTACAAGAGGGCCATTCTTATCTGTATCTGCCAGTCGGATACATCCTACTGCACTCACTCTTATTGCAGAATGTAGTGAATGCATGATTGCAAGGGCAAGGACAGGCTCTCTGAGGAGAGGCGGGGAGAATAGACCTGCGGATGTGAAATTCGTGCCGAGCACCGAACCTTGATTTCTAAGCTGGGTGTACCATGTTGGGCTGCTTTCCCCGTAAACTCCGCCGGGAGTTCAGAGAAGGGGACTGGAGCCAAGCAATCGAGTAAGCGGGGTTGTTTTCCCCCTCCTTTCTTGAGTGTGAGGGAACAAGTTGCATCACGACATCGGTCTTTCAATGGTGCAACTTTCCGACCTCATTGTATTACCACTGTTGCATTGGTAATCAATTATCAACACTCGATTCCTTCAAATACGCACCAACCTCACCATCGCCAGTCAATCCACCCGCAGTCCTCCAGTTGGAAAGCCAAGACATCAAGTCTCAAATTCCCGACAAACAACACAATTAGCAGCTGTCCAAATCATCGACATAGGCTTGGATCAGAAACAGAATCCTGACAATGTCTTCCGCCGCGCCCAAGATCAAGCTGTACACCAACCACGGCTGCCCATGTACGTGACATCCATTCCTAGCCTCACCCTCGTTGATTTCCGTCTCTTCGTGTCCAACCCCTCTTCCTCTCTTCACGTAACCTCCTACCCCCGGGAGCCACGTGCAGAATTAAGCATCAAGGCATACTGCCAACCCCTCATGAAGTCTCACGACTCAAACCACCGCATCATCCTCGAACAAATGAAAATTTACCGGCCTCAAGAGGAGGCCAAGATACACAGATAGCTAACCCCGAATCCTCAGGGGCTCACCGTGCACACATCGCCCTCGCAGAACTGGGCCTCCCCTTTGAGGAAGAAATCATCGACCTCTCGGTGCCCCGCACAAAGGAGTACCTGGCCATCAACCCGCGCGGCCTCGTCCCCTCCCTCTCCTACGATGGCGAAATCATCACAGAGTCCGCCATTGTCAGCCAGTTCCTCGCCGACGCTCACCCGTCCCACCTCGTCCCCGCCCCGGGCAGCAAGGACGCCGCCCTGCGCCGCGCACGCATCAACTTCTTCGTCGACACCTACTTTAGCAAGGCTAACTCGTCGCTGTACAAGCTGCAGCTCGCAAAGTCGGAAGCAGAGGCGAATGAGGTTGCGGCTGGGTTCATTGACGTTATCGCCAAGGAGGTTGAGCCGCTGTTGAAGGATGCGAGTCCGTACTTTGGCGGCAGTGACAAGGTTACCTTGGCCGAGGTCCTTACAGGCTCATTCACACTGAGGCTGTTCTCGTTTGCAAACTACGAGCTCATCCCCAAGAGTATCCTGACGTCGCTGGAGGACAAGGCGCCCAGCTTCTACAGGTGGGCGCAGACCGTCAACAGCACGCCTAGCGTCAACGGTATCTACGATGAGAAGAATGTGGTTGAGCGGACCAAGCACCGTATCGCTGCCATGAAGGCTGCGCAGGCTTGACAGGAGGGTGGTAGCCGACTTTGAAGCGGCTGTATGAACACGGCTGTTAGTCATCAAGGCATTCCGGGAAGTTTAACCAATCCCATGATATTAGCGTCACAAGTCACTTTTGAATATCACCTCACTTTGAGTTGTCAACGCAAGGACCCATGTCCCTTGGAGAAATTGGGAAAAGGTTAAATATTTAACGAGATGTGGCTGTACAGCCCCTAGAGTCTGGTTTGAGAATGGCTTGAGTGGCCATTATCTGACCTGAGTGACAATACTTTTGACGCCCAGGAATCCTCATCAATCATCTCATCGAGGAACATGACCAGGCGTGGAAGACCTGGGTAAGGCACATTGCCCAAGGGCATGAAGTCTTCATGGTGTGATTGAATGCCCACCCAAAGCCTCCTTCCATGCTGAGTTAATCCGAAGAATAACAGCAAAAAGGATTTCCCTCTTACTTAGAGTGATTTTGAACCTTGCGCACAGATCTTCACCATCGAGATGGTGGCCAGCAATCGAGGGAACAACCCGGGCGGGACGAAGTCCGATCTCTCTTGCAAGCCTAGACCGCGGCGTCTGGTCTGCCAGGCTGCGTTATGCTTTTGCTTCATTGATTTTACCGCAGGACCACTTACCCTCCGGCAGGCAAAGTGCTGAATAGAGGAACTCTCGTACGATGATGGGCTGCTCTTTCCGGCTTTACGAGCTTGCGACTGCTCGTCTAGCTTCAAGATGACTTGTCTTACACGGCGCCCAAACAGGGTGCGAGGAGAAGGGCAGCAATTCCAAGGGCCGAAGAATGCAGGAGGGCAGAAAAATCCATATCTTACCTGCACACAATAGAATCACAGATTGAATCTCACGTCACACAGCTGCCAATGCTACATACGATCGTTTCGACATACAAAAGCACATCATGCTTTTTGACAACCGTTAAGAGATTTCGCCTGATTTCTTCGCGCTCGAGATTCCGTCACATCACCCGCAGCGGAACGCATCTCGCCCGAACGGAGATTCTTACCGATTAGTAGTCCCTCCGAACCAGAAGATTCAAATCTTCGGCTCAAAAGAGTGCTTGGATACAGATTGTCTCCCACTTACCGACGGGAGACTCGAGAGGACGGACGCGTCTTGTTGAGAGGATCAGATCAGACTGGTCGCGAAGGGTTTGAAGGTGGTGGTCTAAGACTTTGGTTCTAGAAGAAACAAAGAATACGAGATGGAGGGCCGAGTACGTTGGGAAGCTTTTGCTGGTCTTTGCCTGGTCTTTTGCTGATGGTGTGTACTGCTAACTCGATTGCCACAGATGAGTCAATTTAGCTCCCATCCCAGATGAAAACTGACTGGATTTCTGTTAGGCAGTGCCTAAACAGAAGAGACACACATGATTCAGTCTTGCGGGTAGCTAGCATCTGCCGTGGCGGGGGCGATTGGGGAGGTTGCTCGTCCGCTGTCAATCAAGTCTCGAACAAGGTAGGCAGATAGACCAGCACCTACACCAAACTCGAACCACCGTTGAGGTCACCTTAGGCCTAACATGCTCGTCAGAAAGAACATCTGAGAGGGCGAGAGGGATCTATAGAGTTCGAGAACAGACATTGAGGAGCACAGAGAAAAGGGCGGGAGTGAAAGAGGAATGGGCGGAGTCTAAATAGAGTTTGGCTGCTTAGACTCAAACGGGACAACCACTGAACCACAGACCAAACGCTTTCCCCTCACTTCTTCACGAAGCAGCTTTTTCTGCAACAAATGTGGCTGATTGGAACGAATGAGAGGGCGCTGTGTATGCTGGCCAGCCCTTCTCGAAGACGGCTTCGAAACACTCGAGCTGTGTGAAACATCACAGCGTACATCCCGGAGCAGCAGCCGGTTAGGGACAAGGGTCGCGAAGGGGCGGGGGACCATTGGCCGAGCCACTCGGTGCCCGGAGCACTAGCAGCATGGACTACCAGCTAGAACCTGAACGGTCGTTTTTCGTTTCCTTCTGGCCCCCCAATGACACAGACTCTGTGGCCCTGCCTTCCTGCAGCTTGTCAAGGGTAGTCACATTGATGACGGAGCGAGAGGATAATCAAAGACAAAGAGGTGGACGAAGACAGCATGAGGGAAGACGCACTGATCGCTTTGATGGACCATCTCCTGCTCGGCTAAATGGTTGGCGAGATAGCGGGATGGACCTGCAGACCTAGTCCCGTGAAACATGACAACCGACACCATGGCTGCTTGAATCTGCCGCTAGAACTCTAAGATCTTCCACTGGTGATGCAGCGGCGCGGGTTCAAAGGCCGAGAGCTGCTGGGGGACGCTTGCCAAGTCGAGCCCATACATATGCTTATGCCGGTAATATGTGACAGGGGAGCTTCCCATCACCGCGATACATAGCGTCTGGGTAGATCTTCTGCTCATTGAGATTGGAATTACATATTCATATAGCCTTAGGCGCGGAGTAGAGGAGGCTACTCAGGGCTAGGAGGTGATGGAGGGAGGACATCGACAGAAAGTCAGAAACACGGCCAATCAGCTCGTAAGCGCACAGAGCATAGCGCACACCCTCACACACCGCTTCCTAGACCATTTCCATCCCATCCACAAAACCTCGCAACACTTGGACGGGAGGGTGCTCTTGCAGCACTGCAGCAGCAAGAAAGTGAGGGGGGCAAGACAGCAGGGAGGGAGCTTTGTCCGCCCCGGAGCCCCCCTTTGACGTCTTTTCCCGGAGTGTGATCATTCTTTGCATCTGAAGCAAAGACCAGTTATCCTTGATGTGTCACGATCCATGGGGCAAACACAACGAACGGGTCCCCTGGGGGGAAGGTTGATAACGTTGTTTCCTCCCACCTCGCTTGTGAAGCATCTCCAACGCCGTCCCCACTACCACCGAACTCGAACATCAACAAAGACAAGGGGTTGTTGGATTTCTCTTTTCCAACACTCGTTCTCGGGAACTTCTTCGAGGTACATGCGCGCTCGGTGAGGCGACTTGGCGACCTTGGCTCCTTGCCCCCCCAGGTACCGAAAAAACTCACGTCGATTCGGACACATACAGCTCGTGTTAGACGACCATAGCTATATGGAGCTGTGAAAAGCCGAGGGCAGAAAAAAAGGAAAGCAGCTGATACTTCGTTTCGGATTTTCAATATGCGGCTATCAACATCGTCAGCGGCCTCTCTTGGTCTGCTATGGATCACATTTGCTCTGTCATTTGTTGGCGCCGTAGCAACAGCTGGGGAAGAGTATTACTTCGCTGGAGAACGCGTTCATTTGATTGCGAGGCAACAGCTACCTGATCTGAGCAATATATCAACATGTGGTGTAAGTTCGATTTGGAGTCGGGAGCCTCCTTTGGCTCGGTTGCTTTTCCGAAATGGAACCCACTTTGGCTAACACTCTGGTGCCCAGTTGAACTGCCTCGTACAGGGTATCGCAGGGGTCGGATGCGACCTCACGAACACAACTTGCTCCTGTGCGAGCACCGGTCTGGGTCAGCTCGTCGGCCCTTGCTTGATTGCAAACTGCACCATGCAAGACTCCCTGGGTGAGTACTTCCAGAGTCGTGATGATGGTGCAGAAAAGATGGGAAGACTGACGGGGCAACAAGATGTCGCGAAACTGCAACAAACGCAGTGCAATCTCCCTCACGAATCCGACACTGGCAAAATTCTTGCCATTCTAATCACCGTCTATGTCACGGCTGTCGTTGCGATTGTCTTGCGGCTTCTTGCCAAAAACATGGCAAAGACGTGGAGTCTAGACGATGCTTTGATTATTGCGGCGATTGTCATTGCGATTGCCCCAGTATCTGCAATTCTGTTGAGTAAGCTTTTTGTTGTCTTGCGGCCGGCTTGGATATGTAACTAACTGTCAACAGTGTCAAGCTTAGGATTTGGGAAGCACCTTTACGATCTTAAACCGGGTGGCTTACTGCAGATCCTGCGACTACGTAAGTACATTCCGTTCGTATTGAAGCCATCTTCTCTAATGCTTTTGCAGTATACGCCGCCGAGATTGTGTACGTCTTTGTGCTCTTATTCGCGAAGCTGTCCCTCGTCGTCTTCTATCTACGAATCTTCACTGTACCGAAGTTCCGCATCGCTGCATACACCCTGATCGGATTCCTTATCGTCGGCCAGGTGGTCATCGGCTTTCTCACTATCTTCTCGTGTCACCCGATCGAGTTATTCTGGAACAAGGACATCCACACAGGCGCCTGCCTAGATGTCAACCAACTTGCCTACGCGAACTCTGCCTTGGCCATCATCCAGGACCTTCTTATTCTCGCCCTCCCGATAGCGATGCTTCCAGGCCTTCAAATGAACCGGAACAAGAAGGTTTCGGTTGCCATGGTATTTCTTCTCGGATCTGTCGGCTTCGTCTCGACCATTATTCGTCTTCAGGTTCTCGCAGTGTTTGGAAACTCCATCGACCCGACGTGGGACTACGCGCCCGTTGTGTGGTGGACGACAATCGAACTAGGTGTCGTCGTGGTGTGCGCCTGTGCGCCCATGATCCGCAACTTGGTCGAGAAGAAGTTCCCCGGCTTTGCGCTCTTCGCGAGGTGGACCACCCCGAAGCCATCCAAGGGCAGCAGCCCATCCTCGAACGGCAGCGTGGACAAGCCGACAAACGCTGCTGGGCGATATCAGAAGTTCGGGCGGAGTAACAGCCCGCCTCAATTTAGCGACAATTATGTTCGCGATTACATCACGAGTCCCAAAGGCCCTCCAGTACCCCCAAAGGACGATCTGCCGCCATCTCGTAGGTACCGGGACATGTACGCCTACGGTGGATCCAAGCCCAAGGTGCTTGAGCCCTCGTCGCCGTCCCCTCAGCCGTATGACCTCTCGTGGAGGTCCATGAACCCTTATGGGATTCCTAAAGATGACCTGGAATCAAGTATTGGAAAAACGAACTACAATCTTGATATTGAGATGCTGGAAAGGAAAGGGAGAGATGTGGTAGTGGCACAAAAGGAGCTTTGCTCTCTCTGCGGGAGGGAAAGCTGCAGTCACATGTAACAGAGCTATTTTCTGTCCGTTTTATAGATATCCATTTGCTTAGATACTAATTGTTGCTCAATCGCCTCAATAATTATGCCTCGTTCACTCTCTTTGTTCCACCCGGTGATGCTTCCGGAAGGACCCATATTTCAGCCGGGCGTGGTCTCGGAGCGGCCCGGAACGGTCCGATCATGTCAATGAATGTTCAGCTGGTCAGCCACCTTATTCGCGTGCAGCCCAAATAAGCCACAAGACTCAAAGATACGGACCGCATCCATCGTAATCTTCTTATCACGGGTAGATTGATGATTGCAACGTCAGCAGATAGAGCCCATGGCTTTCCGCCTCAATTCCTATCTGCTTGCTGAGGACCTCACTACCCCGGTCTCCATTCTCTTAAAGCCCAACTAATGCCGCAAAAAATGCACGATGCGAGTACTGCATAGCCTTACTACAAACAACGCGTGGGAAAGTCTACATCGTTCGTCTGCTTTGACATCGACACACAAACAATGCACAAGCATTGACCGAGTTTCGCCACCTCCCGCAGCTGCTTTGCACCTCCAACTCACTATTCCGAATCTGGAGCTCTCCGAAGGTTCAATTGTCCCAATCTGGATACAAGCCCGCGTCGCAGCTTCGCCTCACAGCTCTTTTGCGCAACACGATGCGCGCATCCTCACTCTCGTTGAGCCTGTTCAAGGCACCGCTCGGTCTTGTAGCCCTGTTACTGGTCGCCTCGGTCGTGGGACATGGCGATGGTGATCTTCAACGTTACATGGCCCTGGAAACCTGCCCGCCGCTGAAGATTGTCAATGGGATCAACTTCACCACGCGGGCGTACTGGATGCGCCAGGCCAACCTGGCCCTGCCCAACCCATGCCCGTTCGCGGCCTTTGGCTCAGTGATTGTGAATCACACTACGGGCGGCTTGGGAGACCTGGTCTGCACCGGCGCGAACAACAATGCTGGCACAGGCAACCCGACTCTGCATGGTATGAATCTCACCTCACACAACCCAACAAAGCTTTTTCTTTTGCAAGGGTAGTTTGCTAATCATTAAACAGGGGAGATGGCCGCCATCGACAACTGCTCGGCAATCTTTGTAGATCCCCAGGGTCCATACCGGATGACGCCGGCTCAGGCCCTGGCCGTCTTTGCCAACCTGACCATCTACACCAACGCCGAGAGCTGCCCCATGTGCGCGTCGGCGGTGCGCTGGGCAGGCTTCAGGGAATACGTCTTTGGCACGAGCATCGAGACCCTCACGGAGGAGGGATGGGGCCAGATCCAAATCACTTCCAGGGACGTCTTCCGGCAGTCCTCGGGCTTACCCCGCCGAACAAGGTTGCTTGGTCCGGTCTTGACGAACGAGACAGACCCCTTCTTTAGTTGGCAGTTTAATGCGGGTGCGCCCTGTCCGCAAGGCTGCTCTCGGGGCGGAAGTGCAGGCGGTTGTGTTCCTGCATGATGGGGTCGGTCGAGGCGCACTTGGTTTGGGTTGAATTAGGTTGCGGTTCTGCTCTCAAGAACCCCTTCAACTGAAGCAACTTTCGCCGGGCTTGTTGCAAGTGGGTTTTCTAGTCTATTGGTTTCATCACAATTATCATCAACAGCATCTGGGTGCCGATAGCTAGAGGCTGCTTCCTCTTTCGTTCTTAAAGTGGGAACTCCGAGCCGAGCTCATTTGCCGAGATTGTCAGACAAGGACATAGAATCCCGTTCGGAGACCTGTGATAAAAGAGCATCATTGAAAGATGATTAAACTCAGCATAAGGAGTCTAGTTGCAGAAAAACAAGAATGGGACATCAGACAACTGGGTCGGACACAAGATGTCTGCGCCAACAAAAATCAAAAGAAACCCGCCTTCACCCGGCAACGTCCTGAGATGTACGCCCGTGTGATCACAAGGATATACTTGACCCCCACCTGATTTGAACAGATAACCTTTCGATGGCATCTCGAGGAAACTCGATCTGGAGTCGAACGCGCTACCGTTGCGCCAGAGGGCCGATGAGAATATTAAGGATCATCGTGAGCTCAAGTGGGCAGTTGCCGTGGGCCTCGTCTATCCAGGCGAGGGCTAGACCCGCTCTATCTTGTTGTTATGGGGCAGAGTCTTCGACAGCGGTGGAGCTCATCTGCGACTTGCTTCACAGAGCGAGCCAGCTTCTTCATGGAGGACTTGCCTGCGATGTGGCTAATAATTAGGTGCCTACGCTTGCGTTGGCTACAGGCAGTTGCGTTCATGTGGGCAACAAATATCGACTTAAAAAACTTGCCGAGACAGTCAGACTAAGTTTTCTTCTTGCAAGAGAGGCTATCATATGCGAGCCAGATGGTTTGTGGGAAGACTACAACGATACGATAAGTCGGGCAATATTCTTTTGTCTTGAGAAATTCGGAGTAGCCCTAGCAGGTGAAGCCAAGAGAGCTTATGTGCTCTGCTGAAGGGACAATATCTCATGTGGAAACATCCTCAGCGGTTGGGCTTCACTCATCCATGAGCACATGACTGACGCGTATTTATTCAATTGGTTTATTCTCCAGCTCTATCTACTTGCCTCACATTACTGAGCACAGATCCCCCCAATCAGTTCGTTGATCTACGAAGATGGAAAACACAGGTTGCCCTTCTAACATCCTCGTCTCCATCCCCAGGCTTAACACCACCGGTCTATCCTCAACCCGCCTACTCATACCAAACGTAATCCTCGTTTTCATAACCCCACGCTCGCTGCCAAGCTTGCGCAACTTCATCAAATCGCCGCTCATTGCAGTTTGGAAAATGTGTTTCGTCTCATTTTTGTTAGCTGCAAGACACACCCAAGGATTCGCACCACCGCCAGGAAAACCACACGCGACGATAAAGTTCTGGTCAGCCGCGCCAGACGTTCGGTACTGAACGAATCCGTCAAATGTGTCCAGTCCCTGAGTGATAAACATGCGCCGGGACGAGCTCCACATGCCGTCGGGCTGGGCCTTGACAAACTCCACCCCTGGCGGCGTAGGCGGGAAGCAGAAGGCGTTCCGGTAGATGGAGTCCATGTCCCCGACGAGCGTCTCTGCCACGTCTGGCTCGAGGAATTTGCTGATGAACATCGTGTGTTTGATGCCCGGTGCGCTGTGCTCCAAACTCCAGAGCCGGCCGGTCTTCCAGCGGAGGAAGACGTTTCCACCTTGATCTCTGAGAAGAATTCCGAGGTGACGACGGCCTTGATCGCTGGATCTATGGCAACGGAGACTCAGGAAATGCGCACCGTCGGGCATGAGACTGGTTTCGGTCGTGATTTTCAAGCCTTTATTCGTGATGGCGTACTTGAGAAACTGGTGTCAGTTTTTGAACGTTACACAGCTGACTTGATTCAGCTGAAAACTCGGGGGCATGTCTCGAGACATACCTCGGGGTTGTACTTGATGTCGCTGCTGAGTACAATATCATTGGCTGTCTCAAAAGCCGATGGAGACATAGCCAGAATCCCAAAATAGCCCAATGGAGATTCTGCTGGTGCAGACCAAGCAAAGATGGACAAGTCGTTGGTCTCCTTGATGATCTCTTCCTGGAGTCGGATGAACGCTCTGTTTCCCTCCCCATACAGAAGCGGCATCTTGACTCCAAAAACTCCCAAGAGACAGTACGCCAAATCTTCTTCCCTTTTGGTCATGCGCCCAGATGCCCAAGACATTCTCCTTGCAACAGGTATTGTCGTCAAAAGGCCTTCCACTCTCCCGCTTCCTGCCACGAGTATGCTCTTGTCAATGTTTGTGCGCTGTTGGATGATGTCGCACAGATCGGATCGACTTCCAATGTAGTTCCAGTCCTTATCGAAGAATTCAACTCGCGAGGGGGCGATGAGCTCCTGCAAAGTCCATCCACGAGTGAACCATTGGGAATGTTGAAGTGAAACTCCGTCAATGCCCACATCCGACAAGTACGCATAGCAGATTGAAGATCGCGCGTACCACTTGAACATGGAATTGATGGCTTCCGTCAGCTCTGTGAAATCCTGTTTGTTGATGCAACAAGTATCAACCCATGCATATTTGTAACCTTGCTGCAATGCAAGTCGACAGAAATGCTGAATCTTTTTCCATCCTTTCTTGCGCGCTATCACATCAGGCTTTCCAAAATCTTGGTAGGTTGCCTCTTGATGATCGGCTTCCCATCGGTGGGAAAGGATGGCATACGATTCAGGTATAGACAGCCCCGAGAACTCCTCAATCAGTAGGCTAGAGCAATTGAGAAGCTTCATGGCGATGGGGGCACTGAGGGAATGAAGCTGGAGCGATTGGAGAATTTGAAGAGAATCGCAAAAGAAGACGACATATCAGCCCCAAATCTTACGCACATATCAACTAGTCTTCTCTAGGAAGATCATCGTTGCAGCTCAACATAAGCTTGGAAAACTGTCACCAGGCAGCCGCCCCATGGTAAGATGCCTCGTAATCCATTGGACCATTGATGACCATAAGTGGGGCTTGAGGCTCACAAACACACAAGGTAACTGGCGAGACTATTCTATTCATTTGCCTGGGCTTTAGCTTCTTGATGTACGAAAAAGAAACCATACCCATGTTGTGACCATGGCTGTAGTTGCCTCGCAAAGTGAGCACGCCAAGATATCAATGTAAGGTATTTTGATGCCCATTCTGTTTCTCTCGCATGTATCTTGGTCAGTGATACACCAAGTTGAAAGCACGGCGATGTACAAAAATGATATTTCTTCGGCCTATGATGGAATGAATGTCTTACAAGAACCTTTCTTCGCCCAAGAAACTGATTCTCCTAGTCATCGTATGGATCGCTCTTTCCGTGCTTATGGCTCTCTTTTGTCTCGTCGTAAGGCTCTTTGAATGTACTCGAGCTCGCGCTTTTGTGCTTCGCGCCCGTCTTCTCGGCCGTGATACTCTGATCTTGGTGTTTATGAGGCTTCGCGATGTGAAGCTCATCGGAGTGAAGCGCGACACCAGCCTCGGCGGCAATGTGATCGAGAGGATCCCTCATCAGGAACATGGTCATGCAATGATTGATGTGCATGAGAGTGTCGTAGCGTTTCTCAATGACAAGCATGCCGTCCTTGCCGCAAGATGCGCCCGCGACTCCCCGAGAACAGCGCGCTGCCTCCCACATCTTGCGCCAGTAGAACACGCAATGCACAAGATGCCATTGGTGCGTGGTAAAGAATCGAGCATGTTGACCATGACGGGCCGCCTCTGGTAGTTGGCTCACTTCCTCCAGTGTCATGGGATGCGTCTGGTTCTTGTCATGCCAGTAACCCCAGGTGTTGCCTGTTGTGTCGGGTTCGTTTGGGCCCAGAGACTCGAACTCTGCCGTTAACTCAGGAGACCGACAGTGTGGTGGAAGCCAGGCGGCGGCAAGTGAATCGTACACGCAGCCATTCGCGCGGGCTTCTACGATTGTTTCACCACAGTTGCAAGACATGGGCTGCATTTGAGAGTTGGCTGGGGAGTCTGATGTGAGGAGAGAGTAAAGACCAAAGGCCGCCAATGACACTGTCAACAGACGACCTGCGCATAACACGGCTTGCCCAAAAACATGAAATTTGCCTCTTGCTGAGACTTGAATTCCATCTTCAACATGCGGCTCGGTATTTTCGTCTCCTGGAAGCCAAGCGTACTCCGTTTTGTCTTTGTTTGTCCATGGTACAATAAAGATTTCGAGACTAAAGTCCTGAATTGTTAGCACAGTAGCTTCTACCCTCGTGATGCGCTTACATTTTGGACATTCTTGATATATACCGTTGCTGTTCAATGTAGCTTTCTCAACATGTCCGACATCATTGAACTTCTCAAGAAAGTCGTATGTTCTTGCTAATATGTGAGGGAAAGCAGAATTAAGTCAGACGACAAGAATGTAGGGAGCCACGGGCAGGAACACCGCTCGCAGCTCCCCGTAACTTTTCACAAGAGCTAGGGTATCGCGCTCAGATTGAATTTTGTATGCCATGTACACATTCAGAAGGTGTTGCATATCTGACGCAATCCTATATCGACGCTAGGAAACATGATTTAGCGGAAGTCCGAAGGATTCGGAGGAAGAGCACAGCTTATCGACCCCGCGGAATCGCTACATAATGTGCTTGACTTCGCCTTAAACCCCGCCTGTACCCTAAGCCCAAAACAGAAGCTCGAATGATGCGATCTACAACGTCACGGCCCGGTAGCGGGCCGTTTGTGGGCGAGATGCGGGCTGACGCTGCGTTTATGCGGCACTTTTGTTGCTGCCCACTTACACCTATCCTACGCAATACGCTGTCGCATTCGCAAGTTACGGCTCGAAAGTAACTTAAGATTCGCTTCACTCATCATTGAAGATTTTGCCAAGCTTCCTTCAGGATGCATTTGCTCAAACGATGGTACGGAAGAGGAATCTCGTATTCCTGATCTGAATGATGCTTTATGATAGCACCCATCCGGACAAAGACTGCGATCAGAAAGGCTCAGCGTTCAAGCTTTGCCTGGATGCGGATGCCTAGCCAACGAAGCGGAACGAGCGTCCGGCACGACTGCGTGGTAATTAGTAGAATCAATTCGCCTGATATCAACCATCCTTGGCTGCTCTCGAGTGAGCGAACAAATACCAAAAAAGAAAACGATTTGGGCTGGATACATCACTTTCTGAGACGCGGTTACCAGTTGAGCATTATAGTTGCAACAAGTAGTAATGAGCGTATTCTAGCAACCAGACTTAACCCTTCCAGCTCCAGATTCTTACTCTACAGGTCCACCCCACTCTTCAACGTCGAAGCCATGATACATGAAGGTTTCTGACTCGAGACCTGCTACATGTCCCCCGTGTTCCAGATCTGTACTTCCAGGAATATGGTACTTAGAGCATGCCACAACGATCGCCTGTTTAAGGGTAGAAGGGAATTGCCTCAGCTTCCGCATCAGCGGAGCGCTTTGGGTAGAAAGGGATGGCCTCGGCCTCAGCCTCCGCGCCCCTCTTAGGATAGAATGGAATGGCTTCAGCTTCGGCATCAGCACCTCTCTTGGGGTAGAAAGGGATCGCTTCGGCTTCCACATCAGCATCCCTCTTCGGGTAGAAAGGAATAGCTTCCGCCTCGGCGTCAGCACCGCGTTTAGGGTAGAAGGGAATGGCCTCGGCTTCCGCGTCTGCACCTCTCTTGGGATAAAACGGGATGGCTTCAGCCTCCGCATCTGCTCCTCGCTTAGGGTAAAAGGGAATTGCCTCGGCTTCAGCGTCGGCTCGGCGCTTGGGGTAGAAGGGAATAGCCTCCGCCTCTGCATCAGCTCCCCTCTTTGGGTAGAAGGGGATAGCTTCAGCTTCGGCATCTGCTCCTCTGACATCTTGAAGAGGTAGCTCAAGTCAGTCGTCTTCTTACTAGTCACTTGTGTAGTTTGTTGAAGCGCTTGCTGTCTTCCAAGATCACATACCGAGAGGGGCGGCAGCCACGAGGCCAATGGCAGCAAGAATGAGGTACTGAGCACGCATTGTGACTTTCTACTGGGCGTGATTGATAAAAGAGACGTTGGTAGGACTTGGAGATGGCTAGTTCAAGAGAAATTCTGGGAGGCCGTTCCCTGTATATGGTATTTGAAGAAAAGTCGCCTTTGACCTAATTGACGCATAAATCACGCATCATCTGAGATAAGTCGAAGCTGTGTCCTCCTTGTACGGACTTTAGCCGCCAGTGACGAAAACTTGCCTGGAAGCACGAAGAAGTCGGGCGGGATCGCGTCAGTCCGGACGCTCGATTACCACTTACACGTACGGAATATCGGTCTCCTGCAGCTGCAGCCAAAAGGTCACAAAGATGTTGACAACCGGGTAGAGACTGTTACAAACGAGGAAGGTTGCATCGGATGCTTCGAGATGGGCAATGGAGTTGACGACATATAGATCAATTACCTAGACGTTTCACCGACATGCCAAGCCAGACGACGGATTCGAAGGATCTCTCTGCGTCATGTGGTGGAGTTGTAGGAGTTGATAGTCGCAATCCCGCTCGCCTCCTCTTATCTTTCAGGGAGGTACTTAGACGTTCAAGCTTTCGAGTGCAATGGGGAGTGTGTTTACCTCACATGAATTGATTGGGCAAGCTGATCTTACTCAATCGCTTGCTTATGCTGACTACCTTGAGCGAAGCGATGTCACCTTCCCTCCGTTCAATAGCAAACCTCCTTCACTTCTGTGGCCTACTTGCTAGACTTCCTATCTTCTCGCACATGGGTTGTTGAAATACAGGACCATGATGAATGACATATACCGATCATCAACAGACTCATCGGAAGCTTCACATACAGAAGATGGTCTCTCGGGAAGATTCGAAGAGAATGAGGACCCCGAAAAGGCTCTACTACCTCGCATGGACACCAAGGCAGGATCTCAAAGTATTGGGAAGGAGACTTCATTGTTGAAGCTCTGCAGTAAAAGGCCATCTCTAGCGACTTTCCTCAACATTTCACTCTTTGTCGCCTCTTTCACTTTATGGCTATGGCCTGCACCGTTGAGGCATCCTATGAAGACCCAGGACTATTGGAAAAGAACCTCCTTTTACTGTGAGTACCCAAGCTGTTGAAAGCCTTCCAGCCCGATATGCTAAGTAGACGTTCAAGCACCGATACTTGAGCGCTTCGATATACCCAAAATCAGCAGAGTGACGAACGGCACTCTATATGACACGAATCCGCCGTCAGTCTTTCGCCAGCGAATTGGCAAAGAAGCCGATGAAGAGTGGCATCGTATCGGTGACCATGTCTGGCCTCTCGTCATTGGGGAAGCGGATGTGAGGCAACTTGGAAAGGACCCACGAGTCGCTGTTAAGATTCCAGAAGATCTTGGCTACGGTTCAGGTGCATATATTGCGCAAACAGAAGTTTTCCATCACCTCCACTGCTTGGATATGTTGCGCAGGGAAGTATCATACGAGCATTGTAAGTTTCTCGGTATGGAGTGAGTACGCACTTCTGACTCCTAAGTATAGACTATGAGCCCAAGGAGGGACCTAGGCCAGGAGGAGCTCAGCATCAAGCCCACATCGGCCACTGTTTCGATATCCTTGCCCAAGCAATCAAGTGCACCGGGTCGGTGGACATGATAACTTTCAACTGGGTTGAAAATTGGGAGCAACCATTCCCAGATTTTATGAACCACAAAGTGTGCCGTGACTTTGACGCCTTATTGGGCTGGGTCAATGAGAACTCCATGGACCCGAAGGTCTTTCAACAAATGAAGGCGCCTCCGCCTGGGTGGCCTGTCATGCCAGAGCCAGGCCCGGCATCGTGATAATTCTGAGGTGGCGAAGGACTGTTGAGAATCATTGTATACAGTCACATAGTAAAACACCAAGGAATATTTTGATGATAGTCTTGTTGCAGTATGGTTTGCTGTGGTCAACTCGGGCTTTGTTTACATCCGATCCTAGCCGCTTTCTGCTCATTGTGTCGGCGCACGTGAGAATCGATTTGATTGCGTGATTAAGCGGCTAATGCTCCGCACTTTGGCCTCGAGCCATCCCGTCGGCTAGGCTTGAATCATGAACTTGTCAAACTTATGAAGGAACAACATTAGCCATCAGCAAGAACATCTCGCAGCGCCTCATCATGACCATGGTTACCCAATCTACGCCTCCGACCCCGCAGACGGATTTGAAGACGGTGGTCGAAGCTCGGACTCGGGAATGGCATTTCCACATTTACTTCCTCCTACAGTCCCCGACTGAGACTTCTGCTGCCCTTGCTCTTCGTGATGCTGTTTTGAGATTGCGACGCGACGGTAGGTTTGAAAGACGACTCTCACCTGGACGAGATTAGTTGAATCATTGCTGATACCCACGTCTAGGCGCGTTCGTTGCTGTCCCACTATTCAGGGTCAACGAATTTCCTATCGGACCACACCCAGCGGGATCTTATGAGAGTGAGTAGTGCCAAAGTTCATCTGCATGTAGGTATGAGACAAAGAGCTCGATTGACCAAAAGTTCGCATGTAGTCTGGGTTCCCGACTCCTCGTTTTCTGACGTCTTTTTCTACTTGGCGGCAAACCGAGGTAACTTAAGGTAAGACCAGAATCAGTAATTGCTTTAAGTAGTCATACTGTCTTGATGCTTACATGTGCTCAAAACTTAGTGTCCTCGTACACCCATTGACATCGAGTCAACGTCGAGATCATGAGACAAGGAATGCCTGGATGGGTACTCCGTGGCCTATTTACCTTGACAGCTTGCCATCCGATGGCGATGTTCCTCTTCAATATCCCGAACTGGGTCTTGGTTGGTCCACTTCGCCGGAGCAGGAGATATCCTTGGAGGAAAGGTTGAGAAGGGGTGCAAAGGTTGAGGCTCTGTTAGCTGATGACCCAGAGGCTGCGCCTGCGCCTAAGGATTGAGAGTTTCTCAGGACCGACAGTGCGCGCCAATTACAATGCTAAGGTAACTTGATACCGTTCGGATTTCACCTCGCTGCAGTATGAGAAACTTCCAAGCGATGTCGCTTCGTGATGTGGGTTGTGGATTGTAAGAACCTCGGAGCACGTGTGACATAGAAAAGTAATCAAATACAAGCCATTGATGATTGTCTTCAAAAGCCATGAGCCGTGTACGAATCCGCCGCACTTCCAGTCCGTCATACCTATCGCTCGGACACGCCGGCCACGGTCAGCTAGCACGTATGGCAGGACCAATGAGTTGTCAACTTGTCCACTGCTATTAGATGAATTAGTGGATTGCTCTCAGTCTGCTGCCCGAATTGTGCGACTATCAACTGTCAAGTTCGGATAGCATCTCGACCAAAAGGAAGTACACAGGCGAGTCGCAGAGTTTGCCTTGTTACAGAGATGTTTGCTCAAGTCTGCTGTTCTTGTAGCACGTCGCGTGGGACGAGATGGCAAATGTCCAGTACGCACACTATATATTACGCCATCCCGCGGACTATGTGATGTTCGCGATAGTCTTCAACGAATCTTGCCTACTTTGGATGACTTTTCTTAGAATTCGTAACATTCACCAGAAGCACATCCATGAGAAATCGAGTAAGTCTCCGCCTTGACTAAAAATAGAATGACATTTATCTTGAATTGACTGACTCTAAACCCGCCAGACAACTATACAATAACAATAACGTCTCTAAACATGAAAAGCGCCGTAATCATTGTCGCCGTGGTACTCACCCAAACGTCATTGGCCGCCTTTTGTGCAGCGTCCGCATATCTTGGGGCAGGACGACCTGGTAGCTGTACCGGACAAAATCTGGGCCATGGGAATTCGTCTCGACCAGGGGTTAGCGAGTGCTTCGAGGCAATCAATGGTGCTTGTGGGCTGGTAACAGATCGAACAGCTGGGGGAGGTTGTAATTGCACTATCAATTTCTTCTCTGGAGGGGATTGCAATCGCACTTCCGTGGGGTCTTTGCGCTGTAACAGGGTTGGTGCATCACTGCAAGTCAACTTTGATCACTTCAATATTCGCTGCCCCAGGGATTGAAGTGCAGAAAAGAGAATTTACTACGATTGCCTACACTAATTGAGTTGACTAGATTCCAGCCTAATCTGAACTTGATCTCACCATAAGTACATTAACGGAGTAGGTAGGGCATACCTACCTTACCGTTGGGAGGAGGTTGTAATCGTTCTATCAGAATCAGTGCTTAATAACGCAAACATCATATTCAAGTTGACATCGTTTTGAGTGCGCGACCATAGAATGCGGTCTTCAGCGGGTGGCCTTCGGCGGCTGCAGTGGCCGGACATCACCACTAGCGTTGCCCAGGGCCCAGCTCCAGGCCCGTGTGCGCCTAGATGCAGCGCCTCTACTAACCTTCTCACTGTTTTGCCATTAGTTTTAGATGGATCAGATGGTCAAAGAGAGAACCGACATGCAGAGAAGAGCGAATAAACCCAAGCGAAATATACACTTTAGGAAGAATACAGAGTTAATACTTTCATGCACGCTGCGTTTACTTCTTGTGTCTGTACGCTAGAAGTTGAGGTATAATAGTAGAGTGAACAATAGTGTAGAAATATCCCCTCCAAGAGGGTCGCCATAGAGTCCCTCATTTACAGTGATAGTCCCCATCCCATAGCGAGCGGCTACTGAGAGCGACACCTGCTCACCAGGGATACCTCCGGACTTCGTCTTCTTTGCTCAAGTCCAGACCTCTATCCAGCTGTTTCTGATGTTCGTTATCGAGGTACTCTAGCAATACCCTCCCATACATTTCACGCCCCTTGTAGTTTGCAACTGTATCATCCCAGCTACGAACAGCACTAGCGAGTCTTCCAGGCACGTAGTCCTCCGCAGCCAGCTCAGTGACTGGATGAAAGTACGTTCTTATCGTGAAGACAATAGCCTTGCTCTTGGGAAGACGGCGCAGCGATTGCCTCTCGGAACGAAAATAGTGATGCTCAACCGCTCTATCTTTCTCAGCCGTACTCCAACTGACAACTGGGCTGTCTTCCTCGCCAATGCTCCAGCTCCAGGGCAAAGAGTCATCGACCTGGATAAAGTAGTTGTTGCGGGAGTAAATCTGGTCGCAGCGCAGGCGCTTGAAGAAGCTGGCCATGCCGTTGTGCAGCTTCTCCTTGTAGTGGGGGACCTCGCCAGACGTGTGGATCTCCTCGAGGGACATGCCAAACTTGTCGCTCAATCTCCAGAAGCCGGCCAGCAGGATGGAACCGCTGAGCAAGTAGTACTTGCCGTCGGGCCGTTCGACCATGATGGCGAGATCGTCTTGCACGAGCCTAGCGGCAATGGCGGCTGGGTCTTCCTTGAGAGGTGTTTCGACGATGTTGAATGATTCCCCCGACCAGAGATTGTCGATGCCGACAGCGGTCCGTTTGAACATCGTAGGATAGCGAGCGGGAAGATACTGACACAGTTCTTCTAGAAGCTCCATGGCTGCAGGATAGGCCTCCGGGTCTGTTCCGAAGCACTTCTCGCCCCGTTCAGCGATTCGAGCAGCCTTGTCGGCATGGTATCGAGGATAGTGGTTGTCCAGCTCAATCCAGTCCTCAGGCTGGACTGAACGAAGGCCCATGGTGACGTTATATTTGGGGCCGTAACGAAATGCGCGATAGGGCAGAGGCTTTGTCGTTTCTACTGACCAGTCCGGGTAGGGAGCGGGAATTGGCATCTGCCATGTTTCTGAAGCTTGTTTGGACTTTTCAGATTGTGTTGTAGAGGATGTCTTGTTGAAGGGGGCTCCTTTTCGCGGTCGCAGCGCGCCGAGCGATCGTGAGAGTATGGCTGCTGAGAAGAGGGCGAAGAGCCCGATGAGAAGTTTCCAACCATCCGAGGGGAGTTCCGATAACGCTAATAGGGCCATGTTGAGGTACTCTGTGTGACCTGGAGTTTGGTAATCTACTAGTACCCAGTTAGGGGGACGAAAGGCACCCGAGGTTTGGATGAGGCCTATCTTTGCTGGGGATAGTTGGGGTGCACATATGAAGGAGGTACTGCAGAGGCTAAGATGATCTCCAGTGAATTCAAGGAAATTGCAGAGCATTATCACTGCAGCCAACTTTTCGAGTCAGCTACGTATTAGGAAATACCTTCCAGTAAAGACTTTGGTTCCGCTATCCGGTCGGCACCCCGTCCCACGCCCGTATCTCTTCTCCAGACTCGTCCCCGCAAGATCGGCTCCCTCTGGGAACCGATTCTCCACTCGACCGTTCCGAGTTGGACGGGGGATGCGCTTTACCGGAACGGGAAATTTTACCCTATCGTCCTATCTTCCAAGTCGATGTTTAGGGATCCTTCTTTGGCAATCTCGCGGGAGTGAAACCGAACCTTGTTCCTGGATGTCTCCAATGCCCAGAATGAAGAGGCTTTCTTAGAGATTTGGGGTATTGCCTAAAGAAGCATTCTTACACTGATGAATAGAGCTCTATATATACCAGGTGAATGGGCAATGTTGAAATATGGTAGCATCACGCACTCAATAAAGATTTGACATCATCATACTCACCACTATTTTCCCAACAAATTGCATCAAATATTGATCATCACAATGGCCGCTTTCCAACATTACGCTAAGGCCCAATCAACCTTCCAAATCCCCCTTCTCGCGGGTGACAACGCTTACCTCGGAGATGTCTTCTCAAGCGACGAGTCGAACCCCGAGAAGCCCATCTCATCCGGCCTCTTCCGTTTGAAGAAGGGCGAACCGCTTACATACACCTACAAGTACGACGAGATGAAGATCATCCTTGAGGGTGACTACACGATCTCAGACGAGACGGGCCAGAAGGTCGAGGCAAAGCCCGGCGATGTCTTCCACTTTCCCAAGGGCTCAACGATTACCTTCACCACCAGCGACTACGGTCTGGCGTTCTATGTTGGTCAGCGCAAGAAGAGCGACTTCTGAGGAGATGTTGGGTGAATCGATGCTGGGATGTGGATGAAGATGATGAGAACGATGTCACATGGACCCAAGACGATGATGAGGCGAGATAGAAAATGACCAAATTAGAACAAACAATTTCATCGCAAATCTACATTATTCCCAAATGGCCGTTATCCCAGAGCCTGCATCATGTCCGTGTTGTGGCTACCGCAACGCCTAAAAGATCGGACCTGTGCCCTACGCATTCTAGACCTTTCCAATAAGATGATCCAAATGAGCGGTATCTTCCAACTGAGCTCCATAACATTACTCCTTTAATCACCCAAACATTGAACGTAAGTCGTTATCTTCCATCACGTCAATCCAGTGTACCGTGGGCGATCCAATATCGTTATCGTACGCCCTCCAGATAGACTGGACAAGATCCTTTGCTACCACGACTGGGGTCGGAGGTAAGCTGCTCTCCAGGATACTCAAGCGCCTCATGACGAAGTGGCGAGCACTCCCAACGTCAAGTGTCATATTGGACATTGAACCCTCCCGCGTCGGAGCCTCTGCCATCTGGCTAATGTACTGAGACAAGTTGTGCGAATCAAACAGCGGCGGAGGGCTGAACATGTTTGACCCCGTCCCTCCCATCAGGTCTTGCTGCAGGGACCCGAAAGCACCCATCATATCAGACGTAGCTGGTGCGTCGTGGCGAAGTCCGGTACTCGCCGAGATGTACAGCAGTGGCTGGATGACGCGGGTACCCGAAGTTGCCGGGATGTGTTCGAGGACCTTGACGAGTCTCAAGGCCAGGGGAATGATCCACTCGTCCCACGGCACAGAGCCACTCTCAGTCATTGGTGATTCGGCCGGCAGTCGTAGGGAGACCAGGTCAGGGAAGGTCTGGTACAAGTGTAACAGCGATGAGAGTCGATAGGCTTCGGCAACTCTGGCGAGGTGGGACACCGGCGTCGAGCTGTCGCCCGTGTCGACATCCGGGGTTTCCGACGGGAACTCAAGCTCCAACAGCTGCTCCTCCAGACGCTGGGCTCCTATCAAGTCTTGAAGAGCATTTGAGAAGTACTTTTGTGGATCCATCGCTTGCCTCAGTCGATGTCGTGCGCTGCGACACAGCCGAATCGACTCGGCGAAAAGGCGTGTTGTTAGAGTAGAGACACCGGTCCACGGGTGGGGTGAGCGCTCTTCGATGATCTGAAGCGCCAAGTCTGCGTCTCCTTGATCAAGCGGCTCATCATCGCGCACCACGGAGAGAAGCATCTCGCAGTACGCCAAGCTCTTATTGAAGAACGAAAGCATGTCTTGGTTCGCGGTAGAGAATGACGCAGATTGCGCATTCAGCCGGCGGATGAGAGATCTCACTTCTCTCAAGAATGGGAGCCCGTACAAGCGGGAGTCGACCCAGCAGACCGTTGTCCCTAAGCAGAAGAGCGAGAATATGAGACCCGTTGGAACGGAGCGGAATTCGCCTTGTGCCTTCACGACCTGGAGCTCGGCTTGAATGAAGTCTGTCGCTCGTTGCATGAGCCGTAGTGCGGATTGCCTCATGCTCGGGAGTCGGGATGCCAGGAACGCGGCGGACATGCTCTCGAGAGAGCTGCACACCGTGGCGGAGGTTCTCCAGAGGTCTATGGCGATCTTTCGATTCAGATTCGCGTTCGAGTCGAAGCCGGACCACGCTGGGCACACCTGCTCAAACCAGTTGATGATGAATGCCGAAGAGGTGTCGGCGAGACTGGGCGATAGTGAGTAAGGAGCCAACTGGGTCTGATCTGCGGGTCTTGAGGCGCCTGATTGTTGAACAATCACACCGAGAGATGGCTGACGAGGTGAAACGGGTTCCTCCGCGAAAAGTTGAGATATTTCATCCATTCCTCCATCGCTCATTTGATAAGCCCCACTGGCCTCCTCATCCCTTTCTCCAGGCCCATCTCGCTGAGCTGAACTCTTAGAAGAGGATGAAGAGATCGAATGTCGACTTCTTGGGGAACTACTGCTACTCACTGAACCTGAGTTTCCCTTTTTGGCGCGCGCCTGGCCCTCGGGTGCGTCGGCCGCTGGTCGTTTCGGCGATCTTTGCGTAGGGGGGTTGAAGTCGTCGAGTGTCAAAACCTGAAGGGCGGGCTGATGTTTGAACGACCATCTCAAGCCCTGCGCGAATCCTCCACACTTGATTCCCTTCCGTGTGCACTGTTGGCAAGCTGGTCGCGTCTCGTCACATTTCAACTATCGCAGGATTTTGTCAGCAACCATATGTGGGGTCGTTTCCGTGAGATCCTCGTTCATCGAGGTTCAGTGGACAGGCATAAGACGAGTGGCAGCAACGTACGTGCTTGGCTTTGCAAGTAACACAGCCCGATCTCGACCGAGGATTGAGACCAGTTCTAGTTTTGGATACCGACTTTAAAGTCTTGGAGGGTACCATTGAACTTTATTCCGATAAGTGAGGGGTTTCCAAGTCCGATTGAGAATTGCTGAATGCGGTAGTCGATAGGATATCAGATCAAAGTCGTTTCGACGCGAATTCGAGTTCGTTGAGCAAGGGACGGATGGAAACAGGCCACAAGGACTTTTTTGTTCCGAGAGTCACCGGTCGTCGGTGTTCATCGCGATCGGATGAGGGTTCATACTGGTAGCCCAGGCCCAGTCGCGGCAGTGCCATAAACGCGGGGGAGGGCATCTTATGACGCTATTTGTAGTTTAAGGTATCTTGGCTGGCGCATGATAAGCTAGCGACGTTCATGATTGGTGGTAGGGGCATGTTTGATGGATGAGACGGGTTGGAGCAACCCGCCCGCCATCCTTGCAGCGGGAGAGCGGCACAGCTGGCAGACCGATGCCGCTTGATGTTCGTTTCGCCTTCGATATCTATCGTGGTTGCGTCTCACTGGCCATAGAGCTTCGCCGTATTGCATTCCGTAAGGTCATGCTGGACCGTTGATGTGAACTGTGATTGAAGAGCAGAACTGGTCCTGTGGATCTAGAGAATACAGGTAACCAGGCTCACAAAACTTATGAAGACTTCATCCCAGATATGCACTGCTTGCCGTCGCTCCGGCGGTCCCGTTCCGGTGACACGAAGTAGGTAAAGGTCAAGCCGCAAGAGGTTCAGCTCAAGACACTATGAATGTGAGTCAGAGTCATGCTTTTCGTATAACTTCGTATAATGCTACATATATGGCCACTTGCCCTTCTGCCTGAAGACCAAGAATGCCCGAAAGAAGAAGGAAAAAGGAGACCATGTTGATCCCGAATTCCCGCAGACTCTTTGGTTTTCGGCGCTGCGGCGATAAGAAAGCCAAGGGACCAAGGGTGGGAGAAGAATTCCAGGGATTCAAGGGGTTCCAGACCAAGACACGCGGCGATCGCCCCCGGTTCACCCCGCATTATGCAGGCTCAAAGCCCAATCATGGCCACTCTATTGTCCTTTATCTATCCCGGTACCGGGATGGCCGCAGCGGGAGGACCAATTTGCCCAAGATAAGCCCAGCCAGCGCCTCTTCGTGTTTCCCATGCTGCCCTCGCACTTTCGGAGACTCCTTCCATCGTTCTCTTCGCATTCCATATTAACATTTATATCGGGGTGGCTTGAACCTGAGTGATAGGGTGGCTGCATAAGCGTCTCTCAGATACTCCGACTTCGGCCGGCATGGCTGGTCCCTGGCCGAAACTCACGATACCAATGAGGCCGACCAACTCATCAATGTGCGAAAAACACACGACGTAAGCCTTCATCTTCTTGGTGTTTGCGTGTCTTTTGAGCGTAATGCGCGTACAGGAGTTTCAATCTCACTTCAATGCTTCATGTACCCCGCATTCTGCTATTCCTTTCCCGTCGAGCGCACTCCGCTCCCGCTGATCTGCTGTCGTTTTCATTAGTAACGAATTCCACTCACCTCAATGTACCTCCACGTCACCTCGCGCTCCCGTGTTAGCCACCTGTAGCTCTTGGCTCACGCGGCATGGCACTACTGATGGTCTCATCATGGAATAGCTTGTACATGTAGCCAGCAAACAATATCACGACTAAGTTCGATAGCAGCTCCAAGCCCCAACCTACCTGTAAGGTGGGGTCCTTCTCGAGGTCTCTCTTAATTAGATCAATGTGTTGGACAATAAAAGAATTGTGACAGCGTGATCTGAAGACTCTTGAGACTTTATTAATTCTCATAAAGATGTCGGCTATGCGTTGTGGTATAAATACGTGTTGTATCATTGGACAGTCCATTTCTTCTCCCAGCCCTTGAAGAAAGGCGCTTCTGCTAAGGTCTGCGGCTCCCAATCCTTCTCAATCAGACCATTCTCAACCTGATACTTCTCATACTCCTTCAAAGTCGGCTTTACCACGTGCTCTACATGCCATGTTCCTTTGTACTTCAAGAGGCTCTCCTTACCCTCGTTCAACACTTTGAGAACCAAAGAAGGAATATAAGGCTCATTTTTGAACTCAGTTAATGGCGTGAACAGGGCTTTGAAATTGAAGACAACGCCGCCAGACAACGGGAGGCGGCGCAAGGTCTGCCAGTCGACGCGTAGGTGAACCTCTTCGGGCTGAAGGCTAGGGGTTTGATGCTCGCGATGGGAAAATTCGGGGTGTTCGGAAGGAAGATACAGCGGCTGGCCTTTCTCAAGACCCCATGAACCACGTTGAATGGGTTTGTTGGTGGGCATCTTAGTGAAGAATCTAGAGCTATGTCAGTGATAGGAACTTTGATCCATCAACCGCACCCAGATTGGGGTCTTACCGATCCATGCTGAATTCCATCTTTTCTTTGTAGTCTGGGACAACTTTGTGTATGCCTGGCAGCCCCAAGCCCACCTTTTCACTGAGTTTCCAGCCAACAGAGGAGCATATTATTCCGGCTCTCAGAACATACTTTCCAGTCTCGTGATCTCGAAGCATGATTCCAAAGTCCTCAGGGACATTGTCCAAGAGCACAATCAGTGGCTCAGTGGCAGAGAGATCTGTCGTTGTCCCAAGAATGTTGTTGTGCAAGATGTTACCCTCGAGCTTGAATTGATTGGGATATCTTGCGCAGATAAACTGAAGGACCATTTCCATAAGTTCTTTGCAGGCGAGCTCGGAGCCGGGCATGCTATCGAGAACATCACTGCCATTCTTTGCGTACAGATCTTTGCGCTCGGCAACGCGCTCCCTGTATGTGTTTTCAAGCTCGATCCAGAAATCCGTTTCCATCTTGGTTAAAGCTGGCAGTCTTCATATGAGTTTGAGTGCACGATTTCTAGAATCCTGGCGGGACTTACACATGGTCTGATGATAAGCCCATCTAAACGGTCGGTAGGGCCGCGGGACGGCCTTGTCAATGTCAAAATCTGCCAATGGCGACGGCAACGGAACACCTGAGATAGTTGCATAGTCTGGAAAGTCGCCGAGTTTCTGAATGTCATCAATGCTGAAGCCACTGAAGTTGAACAGAGAGGGGTCGGCGGATCGGTAGTCGGCATCCACTTTCAACAGAGGCTTCGGCGTCACGGCGAGGTCAACCTCTTTGACGTCCGCGAATTGTGGTCCAAGCTCCGCAATTGTTGCTCTTTGAGACGGCGGGAACGCGTCCACATAGCTCTGTTTCTCGGCCGTAGTGACGGAAGGCTTCTCGGCCGGCTGGCTGAAGGACGGGGCGCGGTTGAACCTCGAGAAAACCCTCCGGCTGTCAATGAGACTGCTTATGAGATAGAGGAGGGCACTGGTGAGTGCGGCGATGCCAAGCACTGTTGTGACGGCATAACGGTCACCGAGTTCAATCGCGGAGGACATTGCGGACGATTCTTTTGCTCTGTCATACAAAATGACTTAGCACCGGTACGTCCATTTTCGTCGCTGGAGACTAGGGGATAAGTATTCGCAACTCGCGAGCACAACTATGGTCTATCAAGATGCTCAGAACACAAGTCACAGGGTCGAGTAGATGCATCTGGTAGATTTAGCCAGCAGCCGCCTCTATGCTACCGTTTGACCATCCGCATGATGCGGCGCGTTACAGTCTGGAGGGTAAGACGTCGTCTTTCACACCCTCACCGGAACCGGAAAGATTATACGGACGAGAGCTTGAGCCTTGATCCATTTTGCGTCACAGAGTCTAGCCCAATTTGTTAAATCTACCCGGCTCTCTCTCTCATCCACTGATGATGCAGCGATAAGGTCAGGAACATGGGATGCGGGATGACCCCGCTTGATGACCACCCTGTCTTGGATGTCTCCCACGTCTCCCACGCTCCCCCGGCTGTGCCCGCAAGCCCGTTCCTCACGCGGCTCGAGGCTGCGGAGGCCGCAGCGCCCGTGCATCTCTAATGCTGTCAGGGTTTCCTTGCACGTATCCGTAAGCTCCTATCAAACGACACTCAGCTGCCTAGGCATTGCAGTGCTACTAGAAGCCAATGTTTAGCTATACTCCATACCTACGGTAAGGTTGTTACACATGGCTTATGACGCCGTGCGCCCTTTCCCTTTTCACGTGTTGGACCCAAACGGCTGCCCTTCAAACCGCGTCCCTCCCGCTCTACTTGACTCTAATTGGACAGGCTCCCGCATCCGTTTCCAGCAGTTTAGACCGGTCGTGGTTCACGGTGCGAGACAGTTGAACCCACTGATCCTCATCCCTTTCCAGTCACCCCTAGCAATGCCCAGACTTTTGGTGCCCAGAAACCAGCTCGAGAGCTTCCTGGATTGAGTAGAAAGATAGGTCTTTTCGTGTCCCCGGTGAAGCTCGTCTATCAGAGATAAGCCAATCAGGGAGGGTGGTGTTATCTGGCATCCAGTGCCCAAGACAATTGTGAACATGCTTAATTTTGTTACAGAGCCAACCTTATCTGGGGTTCGCACTGGTGCCAAGTGATAGCAATACCGACAGCATGGCAGCTTGGCCAACATCTGAAGATTGACGAAAGCTTTAAGTGGCTCCCTAATGTCCTGTCAAGCTTGGAGGTTGACGTTCCGAGGCTTTGGTTCTTTAAGAGAAAAAAAAAGCAGCATTGCCTTCGCTTGCCCGCCATCTCAGTCATTGCATCATAATACTTCTCCGTTGGAAGTATTGTCGTGATACATCATGACGGAAGTCATCCCTGTGACCGAGTTCCCGGACTATGCCACCGACCCAACGGGAGGCAACCCAATCACCCATGACCTCAATGCGCCTTATGACAAGGTAAGGAAAGAATTTGACAAAAGTTCTTCTGAAGACCTAAAAGATATTTCGATTGGGGTTCAAAGCCCGCTAACTCGTGTGAACAATCCGTAGGGTGACCTCTGCTGGGTGCTGGTATGCACAATCCTGTGCTGGCAGATTACGCCGGCCATCGGCTTTCTCTACGCCGGAATGCATCGTAGGAAATCCGCCATGACGATGGTTCTCCAATCACTCTTCTGTGCATGCGCCTGTGGCCTACAATACTGGATCTACGGTGCATCACTGTACCAGTCACGCACGACGAACCCTATCCTCGGCGACCTGTCCCACGCCGCATTCCACAACCTCCTGGCTTCTCCTTCGTTTGCCAACAGTGATATCCCAGACATCTTGTGTAAGTCAAGTATCTCCTGAGATGGTCGATATTAATAGAGATGGAGACACTAATAATCGTCTGTTGGACAGATGCTGCCTTTGGCTTCACCTTTGTTACAGCTACGGCAATGATCCTGGCCGGTGCCATGCTCGAGCGCGGCCGTCTCTGGCCCAGCATGCTTTTCCTCCTCTGCTGGAACACGTTCGTCTACTACATGTAAGTCCAAGACCTTCGATATCGAGCACACGTGTTTGAGAGTAATGCTGATTTGCCCTTTAGCTTGGCATAATGGGAGTGGAACCCTAGCGGTTGGCTGTACAACCTCGGCCTCTACGACTTTGCGGGCTCCGGTCCGGTCCATATCGCCAGTGGTTTTGGAGCCCTTGCCTGGTCCATGATGTTGGGTCCCCGCATCGACGACAGCAGCACGTCCACGAAGAAGAGGCACGTCCCACAGTTTAGGGGCCACAACCCTTTGCTGATGACTCTGGGTACCGTTCTCATCTGGTTTGGATGGTTTGCCTTCAACGGAGCTAGCACGGCTAACCTTAGCTTGCGGTCCATCTATGTCGTTGTGAACACCAACTTTGCTGCTTGTGGTGGTGGAGTTACGTGGGCCTTGTTGGACTACATGTACATGAAGAAGTTCAGCTTGGTTGGCTTCTGCTCGGGTATTATCTCCGGTCTTGTCGGTATCACCCCTGCAGCTGGCTTCGGTAAAACTATCCTTCTCGTTGCATTCCCATTTTTGCGCTAACAACTATAATAGTTCTTGTCTACGTCTCACCTCTTGTCGGAATTATCACAGCCATCTGCTGTTTCTACACCGTTCGATACCAGTATATCCTCCGCGTCGACGACGGTCTCGATATCTTTGCCATTCACGGTGTCGGTGGATACGTTGGTGATATTCTGACTGGTCTTTTTGCCCACAAGATGGTACCTGCTCTCGACGGAGTTAGCGGCGACTCGTATGAGGGCGGCTGGTGGAATGGGAACTTCAGACAGCTTGGTCTACAGTTGGCAGGCGCGACGACTTGCGCTGCCTGGTCGTTCTTTGTCTCCTGCATCTTGTTGTTCCTCATAAATAAGATTCCGGGCATGCATCTGCGCGCTACTGAGGAAGACGAGTTGCGAGGTCTTGATTATGCGTACATTGAGGATATTGTCTCGGACTACGATGATGGCAATATGCTGATCCACAATGGCCAGGTGGTGGAGACGCCGACTCCGGCGAGCTTTTCGAAAAGCTCCTAGACCTGTAGACGCGTGTTCATGTAGAGGTCTGAAGAATTAGAAGGTCGGGATAGACTATACAGTACCACGTGAAGGGACTTTTTTCTTGGAAATGATTCCCACTTTTGAGTCTAGTAAGAAATTCAGTAGCCATCCATTTCCATAGGTATCTACATATTTAGTGTACCTCCTCAGGTACCTCTAGACCATGTGTGGCCGTTACCATGACGATACTTCCTAGGAAGCACATGATTCATTTTCAAACACCGACTGCACCAACTTCAGGGTCTCTGAATCCATAAGTTTACAACACCTCTCCCCTCGTTGCATTACGGGTCAAATTTGCCGGAAAGTCCCCGTGAAAAATGCCGGACCCAAACCCCGGCTCAGCTCCAGCAGAACCCGAGAATGAGTGGATCTCGGCACCGAGTGGCCGGCCCAAACCAAACCAAAAAACCGAATTACACGCAATACCAAATCCTAGGTAACTACACGCACATGACGTCAATCATGGTGAACAACTTAAGAAGTTGGAGTATGTTCACTCGTCGCTGAACCCTGGCTTAAGTCAGGCCACTTGAAGGTCATGAAGTGCAGACGGCGTTTGACCCACTCGGTCATGAGCTACGGCCTACTTCTCTTTCGTGGGTTCGCATGGCGTGATCACCTTGTAGGTTTTTCGAGAGACAACGGGGCCGGTCTACTTTATGAATTGCATAAGTTCTTCTCCTAACCTCAATAACAAACCGAGATGAGCCACGACTATTACAGTAGGAAGAGCTGGGGGTTGGTTCATATAATACTACTACAGACCAGACCTGACCTTTGACAGCATTCGGCGCACAAGATTCGTATGTCATCTCTGATGCCGCTGACTCTTCTCCCTCGGAAATAATTGTGACAAGTCGCCCAACGGGACATGAAACGGCAGCACTTCACCGCAAAACTCAGCGGCCATCACGTAGAAACCAGCCAATGCAGCAACAAATCCAAATCCACCGGCAATCTTGGCCAAAGTCCCACCAGCCGCGGCGTTCCCGCTTGCGAATAGGAAATTCGCTGAGCAATTCAAGGTGTAAGAAAGTTCAAGGCCTCCATAGACAATGACGTTTGCGACGTTCCTGATGTTGCAAGTTGTCACTGGTCAGCGAGCCCCGCCAGAACAGACAGGTTCAGCACTTACGTCGCAAAAGCAGCAATGAAGAAGAAGAGGTTGAAAAGCGACCAGACTGGTTACAGTGCTCAAAGTCAGTCGCAAGCTGTAGCATCGGGAAAATAAGAAAATGGCGAGAATGTCAAACAAACCAGCAAGATAGAGTCCAAAAGCCGTATAATATTGCTCCGTCTTGCCACCGTAGCTGTCGACAATTCCAATCGAAGGGATCAGCAGGAAGCCATAACCGCCATAGTAAAATGCTGGGAGCTTCAGTCCTTTGTCGAGTCATAAATCAAAACAATGGAGTGACAAACTCACCAAAAGCAATGAGTGTCGTATAGGCAAACGTATTACCCCTTACCATTTCCCACTGAGCTGAGATGAGGAGGCCCAGACCAGCTAGGAAGCAGAGGTTGGCGATGAAAACAGCTTGATTTTCAAGGTTCCGAATACCCATATTAGCCAGTGATAGAGTCATCAATGTCGTCGCAAATGCACCGTAGCCAAAAGGGCTCTGCGGGATGATATGGTCAGCCAGTTGCTGGTGAACTTCTAGAGCGAGCGACCCGAAGTGGAAAGGTAGGGAATAGTACAGTGACCCTACCGAATTAGCAAAGCGTTCTCTGGAGCTCGCGAGTGGCCTGATTGACTCGATGTCGACTTTACATGTAGTTCGGGCAGACATTTTAACAACTTCTGATAGTGACGGGGCGTAGTTAGAATATTAAATCAAGCACTGGAATAGATCGGAAACTTGGGACCCTTGTTAAGGCGAAGGCATGGTGATGAGCTTTCAAAATTTCAATGAATCAATTCAACGTGTTGCCGCTATTAATATAGGAGGCGAAAAAGTTTTAGTTGGTCATGAACCATGTTGGCCGGGCTTTGAACTTTTACCTCGGCGACGCAATGCATGCCTCATTACATGCTCAGTCGAAAACCCTTCGCCAAGACGCATTACTACCATAACGTGATTCAATGATCTTTTTTCAACGAGTCCACTTCTAGCTAATTCAGGCCCCGTCCCAGTCCTGTTCGTTGTACACAGCCATCAAGATCAGATGGATCCATTATCGTTTGCCGATGTACATTCGTCAACATTCAACCGTCCCATTGATCGACATCGTTTTTTTTTTTTTTTTACTTACTTACCACACTTCTCATTGAGACTAGCCGGTCAAGCAACACAGGCAAACATCTCCGCTCTACCTTTGCCAATACGTTAGCTTTATCGCTGGGAATGAGTTAGAGTTGCACCATTTCAACTCCATCTGAGGATGCATGCACATATTTCTCATTCAGTGCCCGGGAAAGTAAGTTTCATTAACTCCGTTTTACTGCCTCGGAGTCGTAAGGATAGTATGTTTTAGATATTAAGGACAAGTAGCACCACCTCGTAACGCCATACACCGCCCCTTCAGCCATCATCCGTCATGGCCGCATACAGTCTATGGCCCAAAGGCTACATGCAGTTTCAAGTACCAAGAAGCTTAGTACCCTCCATTGCGACGCCTCTCGTCCTCTCTGCGTTGCTGCTCATAATCCTGAATGCGGTCGCCGTACTTATCCTTATCGTTCTGGGCTTTCCGAATTTGCTCGTCGTACCTAGTGCGGCGGTCCTCCTCAGCCTTGATCAACTGGTCTTGCTTGTTCTTGTCGTACTGAGATTCGCGGATCTGTTGGTCCGCACGCTGGCGTCTAGCTTCTTCGGCACGGATTTCCTGATCATAGTTGTTCTTGTTTGCATTGTTGCCGTACCTGTCCTTGGCTCGTTCCGCATCCTGGATGCGCTCGCCACTCCGTTGCTTCTCGTATTGAGCCTTGCGGATTGCCTCATCCTCCTTGTCCTTGTTATACTCTCCATTCTTAATCTTGTCGCCGCTCTTGTTCTTATTATACTCAGCTTTGTTGATACGAGAATCCTCACGCGCGCGGTCTCTCTCCAGTTGACGGATTCTCTCATCGTCCTTGTTGCGCTGGTTCGAGTAATAGTTACTGTCCTTGTTCTGGTAGTTGGGATTCTTGTAGTCGTTGTAAGTTCCCGACTTGCCACCATAAGATTTTGGGTTGAAGTTTGTTGACGTCTCAGGTGTCTCGACGAATCTGCCGCCACGTCCACCCCTCTTGGCGTCCGCCAGTTCCTGCTTCTCCTTCTCCTTTTGGGCTTGGAGGCGCGCCTTGTCTCTCTGGTTCTGTCCCTTCACTCTGTCAAGGGAAGCTTGCTCTTCAAGCTTCGTGCGCCTAGCAGCGTCCTTGTCTCGGGAGTTCGTAGCGCCCTTCTGTCTCTCGCGGGCCTCTTGAATTTCTGCCCGCTCCTTGGCTTCCTTCGCCTTGCCGCTTGCATGTTGCGTTCTCTGATCTGCTTGGATATCCTTGATCTCGTTCTTTTCCTTCTGGACTCTTCCCTTGTCAACCCTGTTATTGTTGTTGTTGCTCCGCGAAGATGAAGTCCGAGATGAAGAGGTGCGACTCGAAGACGACTTTTTATTGTCACGAGACTCAAGAGTGCCATGCTGATCGTCATCCACCTCCAAGTCACGAGACTGGAACGTCGAGTAGACCTCGCTGACTTCCTTAAGGTCCCGTGCCTCAAGGTCGCCAGACTCCTCGCCGTCCACTAGACCTCGAGCAGAGATGCCAGCGACAGAAGTAGCCTCGACGTACTCATACTCGTACTCATCCTCATCTCGGGCCTCGAGGTCAGCGTAGTCCTCGCTGGCCTCGATATCGCGGGTCTCTAGAGAAGTCCGAGGGTTCTCATCAAAGACACTTGCGGCATTTTCTTTGTTCTCGAAACGGGTGATGAGAGGAGCCGCAAGGGTGCTCGAAACGAGAGCGGAAACAAACAAAGCTTTGACGGAAGGCATATTGTGAGGAGGTAGGTGACGGAGACTACTGATGGAGACAGAAGGCTGAGTTGCTAGAGGAAGCTGGGTTCGTAAACTATGAAGTCCGCAACCTGTCTGGCAAGAAACAATCCCTAACGAAAAGCGGGAGGCCTTGTCATCTTTAATACGTTTCTCAATACCACAAAATGTTTATTTACTTTTTGAGACTATGTTTTGATTGTTAGACTAGTGAATAAGTCTAAAATTCTCCGATAAGGTTAAGTTGATAGTCTGAGACGGCCGATATCTTAGCCTTGGTCTTAATCCGTCGTCGGCAGTGACCTGATGATGGCTTCCAGCGTGTGAGAAAAACGAGGCTGTTTCTCATGATCTCGGAAGCCCGGTTTGTTCTTGCGGGCGCAACACTCACGGTATACAAGCCTAGCTATGGTCCATTAGGTAGGGACGGGATGTGAGGGTGAGTAGCATGCCTTCAACGCGTGTTCCGAAAGACTTCGGACGGAAAAGCTTGGTCTTCATGCGCAAAAAGTAGGGCGACGCAGTAGATGTCCATAAGCGGACCCGAGAGCGACAAAGTCCGTCCGCACGTCGTTCAACACTGACAGCGTTTATTCCTTCCGCGGAGCTCCAGGAAGCAGGGCGAAAGAGTCCCTGATTCAGGGGCCCTGTCGACTGCGTCTGGATTCGAGTCGATCACCGCGGGGTAGGGCAACTTTAGACTCGACAGTGAGCATGACTAGCTTAAAATGGTAGCTGAGCGCGGGCCTGATCTTCGCGGGCCACGTACATCTCCCGCTGCGGGGTACTGAGAAGAAGCCAATCGGTTCACGAAGCCGAGCAAGTCGTCGTAACGGCCGCAACGATGAATGAGATGCCAAGAGCCTCTGGACCATTACCCCTCGAAGCTTGAGTCTCTTCTCACCTACTTCTAAGTTTACTGGAGAGAGATCGGAAGCGAGAGCTCGCTTCCAGTTGAAAATCGCGCGCTCTTACACTCTCATTCACGTGGGAAAGGGTCCACGATCATCTGTGAATTCTCTCCTTTGCCGATGTCCCATAAGCCATGCACCTCGTCTACTCCCGATTCCTTCAAACAGACAACGCATAACGTTCGGCAACCTACGAAGCTTCGGCCGCGCACTACGCCGGCCAAATTCTCGGCAATGCTGGCCCCAGATTCGCATCGTTTGAACCCTCGTTACCGCTAGCCCGGAGCCGACTCGATGGACCAAGTATGCCGCAGACGGTCACCTATACACAGCGGCCGGCAATCAAAGCTTCACTGGCGTAAACTGTATCATGTGGCACTGGACTCTCCTGTTGAGATTGATTTGACTTCTAGCTGTCTGAATCTGAAATATTTCAAATCATCTTCAAGGCACCAAAACTCAACAAAAGCCTGGGCCATCTCGCGGAAGTCCCGCTTACAAGGTTAGATCAAGGCTGGAGGCTGTCCAGACTCGATCCGTCGCCCAACGGCTTGTTCTCCTTCTCCCCAAAAAGTTCGCAGGTGGCTTGTTCCGTTTCGCCCATCTTAGTATTTTCTCTGCCACTGCCTATCCTAAGACATGGATCGATAGCTTCATTCAACTTGGCTCATAAGCCCCAAAAACACTAGAGCAACGACAAGTCTAAAATCTTGTTGAACTCGTAAACGTTAAGTTCTTATCTCTGTCCTCTTCTGTGACAGTATCGACAGGCATTTTTGAAAATTTCATTGAAGCTCAAGTTTATATCAACACGCATGTACCTGATGGCTGATGACAAGCCCCAATGTCTACGTGCAAAGATGACTCGCTTGCAGAAAGGATAATGGCAACAACCATGGGACTTAGGATATAATTTCGAGCGTTGCTCACAGACAGCTTAAATTATCTGACGCCTTAGCCAGAGAGATGTTAACTTGTTTCAGTAACCCGCCCACCCCCTCCCGACGGCCAAGAGAGTAAGTAGATTCCATCTGTTCACCATCAGTCACTGCACATACCAGCAATATCATGAGCTCGCAACACACCTGTTCTCTAGCTTCCTCTATGCATTAGTTCAATGCAGACACAACCTATTAGAGTGTGCTTTAGGCCCACTGAAGCTGAAAGTTTGACTTCTATGGGTCCCGCAAGTGAGGTTGACTAGGTACCTAATGCACCTTTATGTTGAATAAGGTGCGGGTACCTAACGGGAATGCATAGGGGCCGAAGGCTTGCGAACCTTTCCTTGCTTCGCGAGGGATTTCTGGTATAATCAAATCAATTCGAAACCGGTTTCCAACCTTCTATGTCACTTAGTCTGAATTCAACGCGAGCACCTCAGAGGCTGACTGTATCTCAATACGAGTATGATGGACTCAGTGCTTGCCTCGCACGTGACCCAATGTCCTGCCGAGTACATCTTACTTATATGCCTACTATCAAGTGAGACTGTTAGTTCAAAGGGTCTGAGGATGACTTGCCCTTCATCTCATTCGTATGAATGGTGTAAATGCAATGTTATCTGGAGCCCGGTTCCGATCGGCCGAAGATCCATAAAAAGGCCCCGGAGCTGCCGCTAGTCTCTCGGCACTTTCTTCGAGACGAAGCGGCCGGGGATGTCCCGCCTTGGGCCCCACATCATTTCCGAAAAGGTCCAGAGGGAGTCCTCCCTCCGCACCCTAATCGGTATTACACCGCCTCGGCGCTCTCGGAATACGGGGAATTTGCCCAGGCGACAAGTTGATCGCATCTGGAAAAGGTACGAGGTGTTCGTATTGGTCATTAGCTCTAGTAGTCTTGGCCATTTTAACTGAAGTGCCGTTGGATTTTCATTGGCTCCGTTTTAGGTTACTTTCTAACGCGGAGAGCCGACGCACTAGCGGCGACACAATGTTCAACCCATTTTCAACGAGAGTATAAAGGCTCCTTATGGAGATGAATAATCTGATCTGCCCATCATCTCATCTTCTTATACACCCGCACCCAGAGAACGGCGACCCATCATGAAGCTTGCCCTTGTGTCGATCTTCGCCAATTTGGCCAGCATCCAAGCCCTGGCCGTTCCAGAGCCTAGACAGGCTTCGACCTTCCCGTCGGTAAGTGGCACAAAGTTCACCATCGATGGCCAGACAAAATACTTTGCCGGCAGCAACTCATACTGGATCTCGTTCCTGACGAATAATGCCGACGTCGATCTCGTCATGGACAATGTCGCAAAAGCCGGACTCAAGATCTTTCGCGTATGGGGCTTCAACGACGTGAACGCTGTCCCTAGCGGAAACCAGGTCTGGTATCAACACCTCTCAGCCTCTGGATCACAAATCAACACTGGCGTCAACGGACTCCAGCGACTCGATGCGGTCGTCGCTGCCGCGGAGAAGAAGGGTGTGAAGCTCATCATCCCCTTTGTGAACCACTGGGATGACTACGGCGGCATGAACGCCTACGTGAAAGCCTTTGGCGGTTCGAAAGAGACTTGGTACACCAACTCTCAGGCCCAAACTCAGTACAAGGCGTACATTCGGGCCGTCGTGAGCCGTTACAAGAACTCTCCTGCCATCTTTGCTTGGGAACTGGCCAACGAACCCCGCTGCAAGGGTTGCAGCACCGATGTGATTTTCCAGTGGGCGCAAGCGACTTCCCAGTTCGTTAAGTCACTGGATGCGAACCACATGGTCACTCTCGGCGATGAGGGCATGGGACTGCCCGGCGATGGAAGCTACCCCTACCAATACGGTGAAGGCACAGATTTTGTCAAGAACCTCGGCATCAAGACGCTCGACTTTGGCACTTTCCACATGTACCCCGATCATTGTAAGTCACCTGAAAGAGACAAGCTTTCTTATCCAAGTCTCGTCCGAATGACGGGGGTCGGACATAATCAACTAACACGGAGAAATAGGGAGCGTCGATCTGAAGACCTGGTCTCCCGGCTGGATCAAATCACACGGCGAGGCTTGCGCAAAGGCCGGCAAACCCTGCCTCTTTGAAGAATGTGAGTTTTTTTCCTCGGGTCTGGTATTTAAACTCAATAAGCTCACACCCAAGAAGACGGTTCTCTAAGTGACCATTGCGGCATCGAGGCACCCTGGCAGCAAGTCTCACGGACGGCGCCCGGACTCGGCGCCGATCTGTTCTGGCAGTGGGGAGATGTCACAAAAAGCGGGCCCACTCAATGTGGGCAGCATTAACCACATCCATATCTCGTGACACACCCCCCAGACGCCTAGAGCCGTTATCCGTACAATGGGCGTCTGTACTGCGCCTCAACCCCGCAGGTGGCAGACCAGTCAGAAAAACCTGGTATCTACGCTGCGCCTCAGCCCAGACTAACTAGAAAAACCTGCCCATACGGAGACTCGAACGGCCGTCTTTCGCTTTTTGGGTGCACGACCTGTAGATAATGCGGCACTTAACCATTGTGGCAATAGCGGATAGGAGCTGGGCTCATAACTGTCACGAGTTATGGCACGCAGCAATGGGCATACGGAGTGTGGTAAAAGTGGCTTAACTATCAAAGTGGAAATAGACAAAAGGAAAAGGTCTATATACACGATGTCTGAGATAGACACGTGATTTAGCACGTGACGGGCACTTCGTGAGGTGCGATTACTATCCCTGTTACGTGACAGGAGATCAGCTGAGCTCAGGGCAGACTCACAACGATGGGTTCACGATCTACAAGGGCAGCAGCGATTACCAGTGTCTGGTCGTCGACCATGTAAAGGCAATCAACGGGTGAAGGTTTGACGCGCGCTGGCTAGCTAGAGTTTGCGGTGACTGGGAAGGGCATTCAGTCACAGTCAATTAATTTAACCTGATCCTCATGAATCCTGTTTCATCCCCGTAATCAGCGATGATCGCCCGAATCATCCGAAATATCGACCGCGAGGCTCAAATACCTGATTCAATGGGGGCCGGGAGCCACCCATCCGACGACGTTAAGTCCTGAAAAGGGATAGTCGGTGTCATGGCATCAAATGGCACCAGCTCCCATAGGTACACCATGGAGATGTTTCAACGCTGGAAGCATGATGAATCCTGAATTGAGATCCTGCTTCTCGCAGGAATACATGTCATAACAGCATCATGTTGATACACTGCGAGATAACATGAATCCTGTAGGATCCCGTCGAAAGTGCAATTGATTGTACTATATCGAAGAATAAGTAGGGGGCTGCAAGCGCTCTAAACTCGCCATTTGCATCAGGAAATAAACAGCATTAGTGCCTAGTCTCGGCCCATGAGTTGCCTCTTCAATTACCAGCTATCGAGTCATGATGTTTCTTGGCCGATCTGTTTTGATGCTAGTCTGTTTCTCCTCGATATGGACTGCCTCAGCTGAAGAAAAGGTTAAGATCATGCCCCTCGGAGACTCGATCACTGGCAGCCCAGTAAGTTTTCTGCTCTCTGGCTCTATGCTTCTCTGGCCCCGCTTGCGTGTTTTCTTGAAAAGTAAGATGTTGACGAATCGCGATGAATTAGGGCTGCTGGAGAGCTCTACTGTGGAAGAAGCTTCAGGATAACAATATCAAGAATATCGATTTCGTCGGAACTTTGCCACCGCAGGGATGTGGTTTCGACTACGATGGAGATAATGAGGGCCACGGTGGCCTTCTTGCGACAGACCTTGCTCGGGAGAGTAGACTAGAGCGTTGGCTTGGGGATACGAAACCCGATATTGTCATGATGCACCTCGGCTCAAACGACGTGTGGAGTACGAAGAAGCCCGAGGAGATTCTTGGCGCACTGGATAAGCTGGTTGACCAAATGCGGGCTAGCAAAGAAAGCATGAAGATATTGGTGCGTATTCCCTCGCGAGCTGTCTTTGGGCAACATGACCACCAGACATGACTCTGACGTCTGAATATCCTCTTCAGATTGCTCAGGTAACACCCCTAGACCCAGCCGGCTGTACAAACTGTATGCGAGGCATTGAGGATTTCAACAAAGTCATACCAAATTGGGCGAGCAGTAAATCAAATGAGAAAAGCCGTATTACTGTTGTTGACTGCCATAAGGACTTTAATGTCAAGGGGATGACGCGAGATGGTGTACATCCCAATGGCAAGGGCGACGAAAAGCTAGCTGATAGTTGGTTTGAGCCCCTGGTAAAGGCCATCAAAGGGGGCTAAGTTGTTCATGAATACTGAACATTCCCGCCTGACATGCCTTCAATATGGGTCATATCATATCTCCTATCGCTGGGGACTAACTTCAATAGTTGATCTTGATACTTTGTCTTCTCCTCTGTGGTGTCTTATGAATTGTAAGAAAGCGCAATGATTAGAATCTCATTATAGTACCCCTACGAGGATTCATATCAGTTTCAGGCGAGACTGAGTTAGCGTCAGCCACGCTTCCGTCTGCTCCTCTGTCTCCGTTCTGAAGGTCCCGAGTCGTTTGTAGATTGGGAGTGATGAAACATTCTCTCCTTGCTCTGGACTGCTCTTCACCAAAAGCCCAGTTGGGAATGATGGTGATGAAAACTTTCTCTCGCCTGAGCTCCTATCAAGACCAAAGATGACGCAGCGCGACGCGAGAACGACCGCAGATACGTCGGCAATCTCATCAGCTTGTCCAAAATCAGCCAGCTTGAAAGTGCCATCATTCCTTAACCCCGAGGGTGCTACAGCATCAAGAGATCCGTGGGCCATGATCTTCCCACCTTCATAGAAGAGGACTTCTGCAAGATATGTGTCCTGATCACTCTCGGCCTGCTGTACCGGTCGCAAAACCACTGGAACACAGACAGCGCAGAGCTCGATCCAAGCGCTCTCAAGTCTTCCAAACGGATCTGAGCCCGCGGTTTCGATGTGGATATTCTCAATACTGCACTTCTGAATGAGCGGGAGTGAGAATCGCAAATCCCATGCGATTTCTGCGTCACTAGATGCCCAGCTCCAGGATGGCGCCCTCCACGCTTTCGGTTTCGAAGGCTGCATGACAGTGTTCCAAAGCATTCCACGTACCAAATCACTTTTCCAAAGTCCAGCTACATATTCGTCTTCAAGCGCTGAGCTGAAAGTACGGGCTAATCCAGACAAAGCTGAAAACTTGTCATTGGGAACCGTCAGCTTTCGTCTGGTATACTCAATTATTAGATCTTTCCATCTCTCATAGAGGCTTTCCCTTCTCTCTTTCGCCTCATTGTAAGGTATATCTTCAGGCGCTGGTGAGAGCAGATGATGCCAGCTTTGGACGTTGTCGTATACCTTGCTGCTATGTTCGAGACGTCGTTCCGTTTGACAACGAAAGTAGGACGTATGATTGTCAAAGTACAATACTCGAGTAGACATGAGATCTTCTTGGTATGTCCAAGCCCGCGTAGCCCATGCTCGGGTATGCATGTGGCTTGGATAGTCGGCATCCCAAGTCCGGTGTTCGTTGAGAGCTGACAGGACGTACGTGCCCGACACCCTACCCTGTCCCTTTTTAGACTCGAACGGGACGAGGACCGACGGCCCGGGACTACTTCTTTTCAGGAAACCCGAGTGAGAGGTATCGCCTGCGGCTGCTACCAGTGTGAGAGTAGCATGCCGATATACAGCAAACATGAGCGCGGCCTCCTTGGCCCAGTCTTCGGCGTCGTCTTGGATAATGCATAGAGCATCGATCCAGATGTACTTGATCCCCATATGACGCGCAAATACGACTGCATCTCTGATTGTATCCGGCATCTCGGGAAGTGGGATCTTCGTCTGGCGGTCTGCCAGAGTGGCCGCTGTGGTGATGAGCTGTGATTTACTGACGGATGGAGGGCCCCAGCAGTAGCTCAGAGCAATGTACGATGTCGTTGGAGGAAGTTTGTCACTCATGACCAAGCGAGCTATTCCGTCGCTCATCTCTCCAACTTTAATCAGCCGAGTCGGGAGGCTTCTTGGCCCTGGAGAACAACATTCCGGATGGTTGCTCGCGCAGCCCCAAACCCACTCCTTGAGGCGTTTCATGCAAGACGGAGCGAGAGCATTCGTGATGGGGAGTTTCAACTCAATACCGAGGGCACTTGCAACATTTTCTTTCGGTTTTCGTAATGTTAGCAGAATGTTATTGTTCTTGTGGCCTTGCAAGAAGTCATTAAGACGGCTAAGGCTAAGAGACACATACCATCTTCTCCTTGATACGCAATAGCCCGCACTTTCCACCCCTCGGACCACGGTCCTTTACGCCAAGCCTCAGACTCAAACCTGAAATCAAGCCAGTATATCCCGTCTTGTTCGATACCGTAATCATCGGGCATCCAATCGCGTGTGACGTCGATGATGTCGGAACGCATCACGTAAGCAGGCGAGGATAGCTTAGCTACCACATCTTTCGTCGTAGACTCTTGCAATGCAATTTGAAGGGGTTTGGGGAGCTTCTCATCGAGTACAAAGCAAAGATATTCGCAGAAAGAACAACCCGCTACAGCCGAGTTACGAAAAAGTGGAAGGTTTGGGTAGCTATCCTTTCTCTCCCAGTGCGCAGAATCACGAACATCTCCCTCGGCGTCATCAAAAACGATGCCCGAGCACTCGTTACACAATGCTTTTGGGCTCGATGACGGCGTTACACAGCTTGATGCCATGATGACATCGAAAAATGGACATCAAGGGGGATGTCAGGAAGGCCAGGTAGGTTGCGGTGGTTGATGAGGGGCTTGAAGCTTCAAGCTACCACATTCGTCCCAACAGCTGATTGGATAAGATCTATCTATATCTCCAATTATATGCGGAGATTTGAGCCTGGCGACTCCAACCACAGAACTCAATTCCTTTATTTCAACTGAACGACCATCAAACAGTTTGTGTGATGATAGTGCAAAAATCGACAAAAGGAACAGCAAGGGCTCAATCGGGATTCGAACCCGAGACCTCGCCCATTCACGCTTTGCGCAAGGGTTGGTACAGAACCCGAAGGGCGAATCATACCACTAGACCATTGAGCCGGAGCGACCTCCGTTGATCGGAGGCCAATGGTTGGTGGGGTGGGAAATTTTGGGGTCTATGTATCCTGGGAGAAGCCGTGCATCGTCAATTCTGGAGCACAGCTCAAGGCTGTGAGCTATAATTGTGAAAGCCGACTCAAACTTGGTTATTCCCTTACTTGAGTAATGCTAAGAATGTCTCCTGCAACTCGCAGCGCGGGGTCAAACTCAGTCGCGTGCGGAGCTCCGTCGATGGGTTGGTTGCACCTTGTAAACCTCGAAGGGTTGCTCCTGGCACTCAGCACTGGCCAAGAACGAACCTGACGGGGCAAAATCACACCCAAGCTATTCATTACGAGACAGTTTCCTGCGATGGCCTGCAACTTGAAGCCGAAAAGTTGGAAACCCGAAATGATTTCGCTACCAAGCTGGCAAACAATGGGCCTTCAGACCGACCACGCGCATCTTTGTTCCATGTCCTTCCCCAGCGTTTCCACACAGAGGAGATAGACTATGGACCAAGCTTGTTACGTACCAAATTACTGGATGGACATATGGGTCTGTCGAAAGAAGAGCGAAAGTCAACAGTCTGGTTTATTGTACATACACGAATTCTTTGCATTGATGCTTACTTGAGTACTTATGTTGTTGTTTCGAGGTCAGCCTAATCTTTAGTCTGGAAAATTCAGCTTGCTTCTGAACTTTGTAGAAAAGTGGACCGGCACTGATATCCTTCGATCTCGTCCCTTGAACGCTGCTTACGGTCCGTTTTGCCCGATGAATTCAGCGATATGTTTGGCAGCATAACTCCTCAAGGCTCAAGCCATGACCACGTGCTCAACTGCCAACGCTCGGACAATGCGATTGATGATTTCTTCCCATTGCAAACGTAATCTCGTCATGGTTATTCGCTGCTAGTATCTTCTTCACCTCTATGGAACGATCCGGGGGCCGAGGGGGAGAACCACCATCAATCCTTGCTAGCACAACGGTCCAGGCGCTTGTCGTCCAAAGTTGGCAGTGGCAAATTGGCAACTCGCGCCTAATAAAGTCCAAATTGTTTGACTTCCCTCTTCCAGTCTTTTGGCTCAGTGGATTTCTCTTCCCGACAGTTGACACTGACGAGCGCGAGGATCAGGACGAGGTCTGTTCCGGAGCACGGAATGCGGAACAACAGCCTCCCACATGCCATGAGGCAAGGGGATCCCGAATGCGAGGCAAAGCATATCCCTGTATCACTCTCAGTTGATGAGCCGTCTCTCCTCCTTTCAGTCTTTTTCTGCGTCTACGCAGGTTTCGCTTACGATACGCGGTGTCTTGGAATTTTCCTACCGAACATGAATCCATAAACAACAGACTCTCGCCCCGGAGAGTTGTAGCCCTATGAACATTCTTTTCCCGGGGTTGAACCAGCTAGACTCAACATAAGTGAGACGATACTCATCTATCTTTCCTGCTGGAAGCCACGCTGATCGCGCGGCATTTGCGAGGGCGGCTGGCGTAGATCCTGTCAGGGTTGTCCAGGTCTGCGGTTCGGGGAGAGCGATTCGCTGGAGGCGCCGGATCGCGGGAATGAGCTATCGCTGGAGAGACCACCACGACGGCACCACCACTACTACGTACAACGACGGCTCCCACGCCTTGCCAGGCACGCCAGGCATGCTTCCTGGCTTGTCCCGAACGCTCCAAAATACGACCTTAATCTTACCATGGGGCTCGTGCGCCAAGAAATCCAGAGTGCAGGCGTCGTGGAGGCTTCGAACATGGTTCATGACTAGTGTACCCCTTCAACAGCGAGAATCGGCCACGCAACTACGTTTCAGTCGTCTGAACTTTTCTGGTCGAGATAAGATCTTTAGTTGCGGTATATGGTCATGGCCTCTACTTGTTTAGACTTTGCTTGGGGGGATATGTTCATCAATTAGTGTAGTCGAAATTTGGTGTGAGTCAACATCAGAATAGTGTCTACGGAGTGCATTCCGAAGCATCTCGCAACCGCCCCAACGCGGGCTGGAGCGGGGATAGAGTTGGCAAAAGTGGAACATCATGAGCCCCTTCTAATAACCAGGGACTTCACGGGTGGGTTTCGTCTGCCACTTCCGGCTAGGTAACCTGGCACGACTCCAGGGTGTCAACTATCTCGATATTGCAACGTGCCCGGGGTGATGGCAGGTGGGCAGACAAGAGCTTTCAAAAGGGGGCTCGTCCTGCCCGTCAAAACCACAATGC